GAGTTGCGAGGGAGGTTACCTGCAAGACAGCCGCTGGTCTGAGGGCTTCGACACTGTCATCGCGCACACCAAAGTCTGTCGAAATAAAAAAATATAACTCAGTACTCACTGCTATGAGTGACAAAGAGCGCACTTTCTCGTCGACGAAAACGTGAAGTCACGGACAGCTAGACGGACAGATGAACGGACGGACGGACATGACGAGCACAATAGCGCCTTTTTTCCATAAATGAGAAAATGCGCTAAAAACAGAGATATTCCTAAAGGTTATTCGTTTTTTATAATGAGGATTGTACAATTTACATAATTGATTAATTTATGTATACATGATGTTGGTAGATAAAGCTGTGAATGAGTTACCTGACCATACTCGAGTCGCTCATGTCAAAGAAAATTACAATTTGTGAAGGTAGAAGACGGTCGAAGGGCAGCCCCTAATATTGTGCACTTATGTCACAACAAACTTTATAAAGAGCAAAGTTTTTATAAAAATATTCTATATTTTCTCGAAGTCTTCTGCTGGATCTCAAGCTTATATTTCTGCGTTTGAATGCAGGAGATAAAAAATTCAATTCATGATAAAGTTATTACAACAGCTTCGACATTATGACACATTACCGCTAGATATGGCATGAGTTCATCAAATATTTAAGAATAATTGCTATTCTTAAATAATAAATAATAATTAATTGTTAATATAATAATTTCAATAATAAAATAGACATAGCTGCTTTCAACTGAGTATTTAGAATACAATTGCAATTCTCAAATTCTGCAGTTATTTTGCGTAGACATAAAAATTACATTACATTCTTAAAAATTAATTATTATGATCATAATCTAACTGTAAGGGAAGATTTGAAGACTTTTAACATAAGTCTAGTAGCTATTTCAGACTATCGTCAGTCCTGAAAAGATCCGGTCAAATGACACGATTCGGTCAAATTTTTGATCTTCTATGAACAAGTCACGAAAAGTAAGAATCGGCGACAGGCCATATCAGGCATACTCTTCAGCGCCGACATCAATATGTTAAAGTTAAATGTTAGAATGTTGTTAAATATGTTATGTTAAAGCTAAAATGTTAGAATGTTGTTAAATGTGTTATGTTAAAGCTAAAATGTTAGAATGTTGTTAAATATGTTATGTTAAAGCTAAATAACTGACGGTATCGACGAGTTCTACGCGTGCACGAGTGGCAGGATCGTACGTCTGCCTCTGGTCCAGCCACTGCCGTAAGAGTTCAAGAGGCGGTTGAGCTCCGTACGCGTCTCCCTGCGGCGCGCTCACGTCATCCACGAACACCACGCACTTCTTCGACATGGGCGGCCCATACACGCCCTTGCGCCGCCTAGTGGCAATTATTGAAGGTAATTTGATTTAATTGAATTAAATTTAATCTTAGATTGTTGCTCTTTACATTTGTCCGCCTAAATTTGACTTGTATGAAACATTTTTTTTGCGTGATAACCGCATTAAAAAATTCTTTAGATGCGATTCACTATTTCAATAAGCGAAATTATGGCAAATACATACGAGTAACTATATCTTACAATAGATCATATTTTCTTTTACTGGCTTCAGAAACTTCAATTTCTGCATATTTCTATGCTTACCCGGAAAGGGATATAACGAAGACGACATTAAACGCTTCCATTACAACTGTTCTTTCGTTAGCTGTTGTAATCATCATATACCTGAAAGTTGGCCCTTTTTGAGCCTGTTTTCTGTTGCTTTGCTTGCTCAATCCGTGCACAAAGAAGGTAAGAAATCCTTGCTTACCTGTCAACTTTAGCTAGGATCTCAGCGTGTAGCTGGGCAGCGGTGGTCCGGGCTGTGAAGTCTATTGTGTTGACACAGAATTTCTCGTTGGTTAATTTATTGAAGAAGGACAAAGTACAGGCGGTTTTGCCTGTGCCTGATGGTCCGGCTATCAGGAGTGGCACGTCATGGTCTATGCACAGCCGTAGGAAGAACTCCTGCCGGGCGGTCTCGGCCGTCGGTACAAGGATCTGGTGGAGCTGTGTGGAAAGAAAAATAACTCAATATTAATTATCTTGGACAATTTCTTGCCTGCTTAACGTTATTTCCACATTTCATAACAAATTAATTCCTAACTGTATTAGACATTTGTTGAATATGTAATTAAATGAGATAACTGGATATACGAGTAGCTCTCAATTAATTTTGTAATGAAAAGTATCACGAGACTTTAAGTTGCTTTATTGATCAGGAAATTTTAGCAAAAGCAATTGCCCTAATTAGTTGTCAAATTACTTTACTCAACGTGCCTCTTATTTTACCCTGAAAACGATTTACAATTAGTCAGCTAAATAGCGTCTCCAAGATCTATGGCAAATTTGGACCAAGGTCTTAGCCTTGCACATCAAATTACTTCCAATTATTTATTGTTGTTATTGTTCGTCTTTATTGTTACTTCACGGATTCTTAATTACTTATGAATGATATATAATATTTATTGTCAAACCCTTGGTAAAATACTCTCATTAGCCTTGAAAGCATTGACTATTTTTTGAGTAATCCGATCTATCTGGCGGGTCACAATTTCCTTTTAGTTGTATAAATATTCTGATTTGTAAAAAAATTGGGCTATAAATTCTAAACAACTTCTGATCATTTTGATGATATTCATTATCAAAAGCACGATGTTGCTAACCTTTGCGGAGGCTAGGATGTCCATCATAAAAACGCTATGTTGCCTACCTTTGCGGAGGCCAGGATGTCCATCATAAAAACGCTATGTTGCCTACCTTTGCGGAGGCCAGGATGTCCATCATAAAAACGCTATGTTGCCTACCTGTGCGGAAGCCAGGATGTCCATCATAAAAGCGCTATGTTGCCTACCTTTGCGGAGGCCAGGATGTCCATCGACTCGCTTGGAATTGTGTCCACCCAGGACACCCAGCGGTTGCCGCTCTTGTCGTAGAAATAATCAAACACCGAGCCGTACTCCGGGAACAACACTCTGTGTAATGGCCGGATGTAATAGGATACATTGGTTTATTAGGCATTTTCACTAGGATGTGATAGGAACTACAGTTGCATTAGTTTATTAGGCATATTTAATCTTGCATTAAAAAGTCTTCATTCAGTCAATGTGAAACAATTTACAGTTACTTATTCAAACTTTGCGATTTATTTTGCTAAATATTTTTTTGTACTTCTGAAGTATTTGAATGGTGGCCACAATCGGGGGAATGTAATTATTGATTCGAGAGGTCATTTAGACAAAATGCATGAAAGAATTGAGATTTCAAATGTTTCAGTAACGTATTTTTCTATTGTGTTGTTCTATCAGAATAAAAAATATCAGTAAATTTTTTTTTTTACAAGCCAGCATTTTAGTAGCTCCTCTTACCCGCGACTGAGTCTGAAGGTGTCAGGTTTTGCATGGCCATCTACTTTGCCGTGCAGCAACTGCCGCAGCTGATGATCAAATTTCTTTTTACTCGCTCCTCCTGTTAACAATTTATACATTAATATTAATTATAGAATTTCCTCAATTATTTCATATTGGCTGTACAATTGCAACCGCCCTGCGATATCGAGCTGATTTCTTTTAAAACAGGATTTTTCCTCTGCATTTCTAGATATTTAATCTTTTGTTTAATTGGATTAATATTCACCTTTACTCATAGGTGGTACTTCTCAGTACATGTTAGTAATTCTCGGCAAATAATATCTTGTACATAGGTACCGTTTACAACGGTCTTTTCTAACCTGTCACTGTCAGCCAAGAAATTGTCTGCTACGAGATTGTTGTGACATTGAACTTTGTGTGTGTTGACTTATGAAACAAGGTCTATAGAGCCTAGATGCTTTTATCCCAATTAAAGATATCAAACAGAACTGACAGCCAAAATTTGCACTGCTATGCACAATATATTGGTGTCAATTTGTAGAGAACATTCAAGATATGTTGAAAGATGGAAAGTTTATGCGCGGCTGAGCTTCTGTAACAGGATTGTGTATAGTTACAAGTTGAGAAAACTCTTAACCGAAGTGATTTCATTGATCAAACTATCAATTGGAATCAATGGTTAAATTTATAGAGCATTAATGAGTAACGACGGAAATATTTCTTCACATCGCCGACCTAACCAACTTCAATTAATATCTCTCTTTTCTAGATGTCGGTAATCGGGTTAAAAGTAGTATTTCTTCTGTCCATGATCGCATATGATCTAGAAACTCACAAGCAATAACCACCAACCCGCATGCAATGAGATGCACATTATGGTAGAGTAATTTCATTTTATAAATTAATCCTACAACGCGTAGCTTGGATATCAAATTCAGCCGGCGCAGAATAGACAATTTTTTTAAACGCTAGCATTAATTTCACTATAACTATTCAATACAGCGCATCGCTTTGATGCTTCACATTGATTTGAAAAATTCTATAACTAAGTTGAGGCAAATCTTTATTTTACTATAAGAAGCGTTGGGATTAACTTGTGCGGGAAAATGGTCAGCGCTGTCAGACGGCCGAAAAACGGCCAAGTCCGAGGATAAAAGAGGCCTATAATTTAAATATACTAGTAGATTTGTAGGTTCCGCTGAAAAAATTAAATTTTCCTTGTTTCTATGCTTTTTAAACTTTGGTGTCGTATTCTCGCTGTACAGACTGACTCATGATAATATTACTATCCTGAACATTTCGGCTTATAATAGGCCTAACTGATATTTTTTCAGGGAAGGAAGTATAAAGTGCAGGTAAAGGAAAAAGAGATATAAATGTTATATTCGCTTTCTCAGAAACTAGGCAATGGAAACTAAAAAAATTATTGATATTTTACCCAAATAATGACGCACTCTTTGCCCTTGCGTGCGTCATCCTGACCCAATTTAACTTAGAAAAGGGGCGCGCCAATGCTGCATGTGTTCTCTACTAGTGCAGAGTGATAGAAAGAGCGTCACTATTCAGACATAATAAATAATCAACATATCTAACTAACTAATTTTCTCTAATTACTTAGCTAACCAATCACGGCTGCCCCCAGGCTCCACGTGACAGCGAAGACGAGCAGGTGCTGCAGGTAAATATTGATTTTTTCTTCAGTTATTTTCTTGCCCAGAGGCTTGCCAGACTCGCGAATTTCGTCCAACAGGCTGTCAAATAACTGGCAGAAATTCTGCACACAATAGTCACAATAAAATCCTTATCAGTAAGTTATTCAAAATTGTAGTCAAAGCTGTGGAAACAATAAATATTTTTGCGATTTCGGCTTATCAGTATAGAATTTGATCAGAGAATTTTTTATCGGAGGCACATTAATGCAGTAAAAAAGAGGGAAATTAAAAGAAATTATTTACATTTTACTTTGTTATTCCGTTTCTTGCTTGTCAAGTTAATAAAAGATTAATTTTAAAATTGATAGAATGATTAATTTTGATGATTAAAATAGTTAATGAGAAACTAACTCTGAATAGCCCGAGCTGCGACGAAGTGACCACGACTTCGCAGTTGGCGGTGACGAAGGGCAGCAGACAGCGCATCATCCACGTCACGTTGTCGTCAAGAGCCTGGCGAAGGCTGGACGTGATGACGGCTGGTAGGCTGGCGATGAACGAATCCTGCTCACAGAAAAATAATTGGCTATTGTTGTTCAAATAATTGGACAACAATAATTGGCTATTGTCCAAATAATTGGCTATTGTCCAAATAATTGGCTATTGTCCAAATAATTGGCTATTGTCCCTGCAATTGGCTATTGTTGTCCAAAGTGAAAAATAATCGGCTAATGTAGTACAAATATTGGCATACTTGCTCAACTACAGGAAGAACAGAGATTGGACGTAGCACTGATGTGCTTTTTTAATGGGCTCAGGTTGACTCACACAAACGGATAAAGTGTATTTTTACTGTCTCACTTAGTTATTTGAGTGTGTCGGTGGAAGACGTAGCAATCCTTAGTAATCTTACAAACACATGAAAAATAAATTATGAGTAATGAATATGGAATGCATAAACGTGGGCTTTTTACGCAACATAAGATTTCTTTCCTTTTAATGATTGCCTAACCGAGTAGAATATCAATTTAATTTAAATGAAGCTGGTAGGGATTTGTCGCTAATGATAATTTATTTAGTTTCAGTATTGGCATATTTTGGGAATAGTTTGGATTTTTAGATTTTCTAAATATCTTTCTGATCTAAGATAACATGATCTCGTAGAAAGTTACCAGGATTGCTGGTGATTGCTAGTGATGGACTGAATTATCAAACATTGCCTTTTTTTGATTAATATTCATTTATTTGTATTTCCTGACTTCATTTGTATACCCCGAGTGAAAAGAAGATCGCTTGATCTGTGCGTGTTTCATAATTTTGTTCGTTTAGAGAGCTGCTCGAACGACGACAGCCAGCATGGTGTTATATTATATGTTAAAATAATAAATATTCAAAATTATTATATAAATATATATAATCAATTTATATAATATAGCGGTGGTAGTGTAAAAGTTCACACCATCGGCCAGTCACTGATTATGAACATCGCAGAATTGTCATTGTTAGCTGCGGTTCTCTAACCCAAAACTCACTGCTCCAATCTTGGTGTTTGTTAACCACTCGGTCTAACTACCGCATAGATTAATTATCTGTTTATTGTCGACCGAAATATTATTATTCCGAGACAATATAAGTAACTTGGTTTATACTATGCTGTTTTTTATAGATAGAAACCGTATAGATTATCTGTTTATTATCGAACAAAATATTATTATTGCGAGACAAGTACAATACTCTGACTTGGTTTTACAAGGACATGTACAATACTCTGACTTGGTTTTACAAGGACAAGTACAATACTCTGACTTGGTTTTTACAAGGACTAGTACAATACCATGACTTGGTTTTTACAAGGACTAGTACAATACCATGACTTGGTTTTTACAAGGACTAGTACAATATTCTGACTTGGTTTTTACAAGGACAAATACAATACTCTGACTTGGTTTTTACAAGGACAGGTACAATACTCTGACTTGGTTTTTACAAGGACAAGCACAATACTCTGACTTGGTTTTTACAAGGACTAGTACAATACCATGACTTGGTTTTTACAAGGACTAGTACTATACCATAACTTGGTTTTTACAAGGACTAGTACAATACCATGACTTGGTTTTTACAAGGACAAGCACAATACTCTGACTTGGTTTTTACAAGGACAAGCACAATACTCTGACTTGGTTTTTACAAGGACAAGTACAATACTCTGACTTGGTTTTTACAAGGACTAGTACAATACTCTGACTTGGTTTTTACAAGGACAAGTACAATACTCTGACTTGGTTTTTACAAGGACAAGTACAATACTCTGACTTGGTTTTTACAAGGACAAGTACAATACCATGACTTGGTTTTTACAAGGACTAGTACAATACCATGACTTGGTTTTTACAAGGACTAGTACAATACCATGACTTGGTTTTTAGTAAAATAACTGCTTACCTTGAGCGGTTGCCAGCCCAGCTGGTGCGGCTCCATGAAGACCACGCCACACCGGGACACTGTGGCGGGCGACGCCTGGTCTAGGGTCAGGGTCTCCATGAGGATGTTCATTTCACGTGGCATCTGTCGGTGGTGTGAATGAAGAACAAATTAAATCTTATTTATTGACTTCTAACAATATATTGAAAGAAAATCGCAGATAAAATTCTAAATGATAAATTTTATAATTTATAGCCAGCGCTGAAATGAAATATCATAATTAAGAGATAATAATGCATACAAATAATGCATTAAGAGATAATGAACGCGTTCAAGAACAGACTAGACAAGGCCATGCATGAGCATATGTTCAGTCTTAAAATGCCTCGTACCCTACGGAACAACTGATATCTAGAAGCGATTTTAAATCTACCGTCCGTAAGGCCAGTCTAGTCAAGAAAAGTACAAGAATCGGCGACAGGCCTATCCAGGCCTATTTATTTAATGCCGAAGATACTATACTATACTATACTATACTATACTATACATACCACCCAGCAGACTAACTATAGCACGCACCATGTGGGATCTCGAAATTAGTTTTGTGTAATAGTAAGAAGAATTAAATACACTAAATTCTGACAGATTCTTCAACTTTGTCAATATTAAGACGCTTAAAACCATAAAAACTGAAGCATTGTACACAAAAAATCAACGCTTTTCATGCCTACACTAAGAGACATGCGCGAAACTGTACGAATAGCTATTCATTTTTCGGTCGTTTTGCGTGTCATCGTAACCCAGTTTGACCCGTCAAAAGGGCGTATTAGTGCTCCGATTGTTCACAGGAAAGGAAAGTGTATCATTATTCGGACAATATAACCAATACATTATTCCGAATATACCTGTATGAGCTCGCCAGACGTAAGACAAAGTTTCTTGTTGTCGTCCAGCGCAGCGTTGAGACTCTCGACCCAGAGCGCGTCTACCGGCCCGTCCAGCACCAGCCACCGCAGCTGCTGCGAACTGCCGCTGTCGTCGTCACTGTCGGCTTTGGTGGTTGCCGCCATAGACCGGAACGTCTGCGATAAAACTCCTGCAAGAATTGGTTGAAATATCAGACAAAAGTTCTAAGTTGGTTTTGTGTAGATGATGTACAGTTCAGGTTTGTTTTAGTGATAATGATGTGTAGTTTTGTTTTGTATTGTCGTTCAAAGTTAAATATTTATAGCTGAAGCAGAGGGATGTAGTTGCTGGAATTTGATTGCATTGCCATTTCTTAACATTGCATAGATTGAAAACAAATTTTTGGACATGTTCTACTGTGAATAGTTTTGGACTTGATGGTAATTTCTGATTTAATAAAATGAGTACTGTATTGCTCGAGACAATTCAACATAATCATAATATGAAAATAATTTTCTTTTAAACGCTATTAGACTACGAGCAATAATTAAAAAGTAATCGAAAGCCGTGAAATTTGCAATCATTATACATAACTAAGAAGATACGAGGCTAATTCTTATTAAAATTAAAGGAGTACCATCGTCCAATTGATTATTTACTCTTTGATACGAAATTCACACAGTCTCTCAAATGTGTGATCTTCGGGCTCGAAACGATTTTTTTGCCAAACTTGTGCCGGAATTTTTCCAGCCAAATGTAGAAATATGTAATAAGTATGTTTCCGATATTCGAGTGTTGTCGGAAAAATAAACCCGCTAGGGTTTATAGGCATCAAAGTTATTAATAAATGTTTTTCCACTACTTTGATATTTTCCTCACCAATGCAAAAAAATTTGCAGCAATCTTCGTGAGAATAAGTAAACAAAGTTGCAATCAGTTAATTTTAGCGTAGACAAACAGAAAGGGATGGGAATATTTCCCGAAACTGTTTTAGAAAGTGAAAAACAATATTTCTACTTGCCATGCCATCTCTTGTACAACTAAAAGCGTTCCATAGGTTGACTTCCAAAACTCCCAGACGACCAGGTACTCTGACTAGATTGTTAATAAGGATCATTCAAGCGGCTATTTTCCTAAAGAATGATTAGGCTACAATAACCCACCGTCCTGCCACTCCTGGGAGAAAGGGTCGTAAGCCCCATAGAGCTGTGCCAGCGTTAAGGCCTTGGGGTTGATGACTTTAAAGAGGACCGAGGACGCTCCATCTTGGTCTTCCGCAGCCACGGCTTCATTCACGATTGTTTTGTTGAGTGCCCCAGCCAACGTCTGCGGTATTTACGCATAGCAGTTAGCACGTTACGTTAATTTGACAAACTAATTTACTTACAGTCAGCTGAATTTTAGCAAGCGATTATTGAGCGACTGAAGAAAGAACCGAAATTGATTACAGTCAATCGTTCAAACGGCTCGTTGTAAATAAATGAGTTGAAAAAATAGGATATTTGTGAGAAATATTGCACAAGTAATTTATTGATTCATGCTTTCTAATTGCAATTTATCTCGCATCAGGGGAAATTGCATCGCAAAAATGATGCATTTTGATTGATAATTCTACGTATAAATAATTAAGACATACAATATAGCGTATTTATATTATGAAAACTCATGCTGCATGAATGGAAAGCACAACATTTTATTAAATATTCTGTCCCGATTAAAAAACGAATTAAAAATTATCCTTGATCTTTAATCAATTGATTAAGGATCAATTAGGCGTCAAGAAACTCTTTCTAAAGATTCACAAAAGAAGTAAGAAATTTTAGAGACTGTCACGATGCCTAATTGGTCCTTTTGCACTGTTAAGTTTTAATTCACGATTAAAATCGCGATAGAATATTTCATAAAAATTTTTCCATGCATGTAGCATGTTATCATTATATAAATACACTATGCATGGATTAGACAAAATACTGGAAAAGCGGTGAATGGCTGACATATATGGAGAAGTTGTGAATTAAGGTTATGCATGTTATATTATATTAAGTATAAGGTTAAGGTTATATTAAGTGCATGTTATTTTTATAAGAAGCCGCCAAGCGTTCAGAAGCATAGCGTGGAATTATTAGCTACAAATAAACATTAGATATGCAAGCCTTGTCGAATTATGCATCAAGTACATCACAATCAATGGTGATGTATTTTCTACAATCAATGGTAATGTATTTTCTACAATCAGTGGTGATGTATTTTCTACAATAAGTGGGAATGTATTATCTACAATCAGCGGTGATGTATTTCTAAAATCAATGGTGACGTATTTTCTACAATCAGTGGGAATGTATTTCTAAAATCAATGGTGATGTATTATCTACAATCAGTGGGAATGTATTTCTAAAATCAATGGTGATGTATTTTCTAAAATCAATGGTGATGAATTTTCTACAATTAATGGTGATGTATTTTCTACAATCAGTGGTGATGTATTTTCTAAAATCAATGGGAATGTATTTTTCATAATGGTGTGATGTATTTGCTGATATCATGCATCCGTACATCAAGTGGTGAAAGGTGGATGGAAAAGCGTCACGTGAATATAGTCATTTACAGAGATTGGAATATTTTTATCCTAATACACGTTTACGCATTCTAATATGACAAATTAAACGTTGTAAGTTTGAAAAGAAAAACATTCTTATTTTAACGCATACAATTAGAAATAGAAAGAAAAGATGTAAGGATTTTCTAATGTGATTGACTCCATAAACACGTATGTAGGGAAATGTTTAAAACAATTTTCCAACCATAGTCAACTAAAAGCAGTGAAAACCACGCTGAAAAATTAAACAAAGCCAGCATACGTGCACTTTTAAACGCGCCGGCCTGCAGTGAAAACCAGGTGAAATGTCGAGAAAAAGTCTACGGAGAACAGTTTTCAGATTTAACTAACTCAGGACGACTTCATAACGTTATAATTTACTTTGTTAATACATTTGATTTCACGCCTCATACTTTAGGCAAGAATTAAAAGCTCAAATTTTAGGGATATTTTGAAGATTTGTATATCTTTAGGAAGATACCTGTCAATTAGCGTGCAAGTGAAGCGTAAATGGAGGAATTAATACTTATTTCATGTTCGTGCTCCTGAAACAGCCCAACCACCAGCTGACTGATTTTAGTGGATCAATCGATTCAGTCTGATCATGGGTGGTTACTCGCACTATTTCTTTCTTTTTGCATTATTTAGTTTGAATTTGAATAGGTTTGAATGTAAGAAAACGAATGTAATGCTAAAATTGGAATGAATCTGTGAAAATAACGAAATTACACTAATAAATAAAAAATTTAGCCAGTTGAAGACAACAATCTCATAGAAACTAACTAAAGCGTAAAATTTCATTGGCAATCTACGAAAGGAACTACGCGCTAGCCTAAGAAAAATAATTTGAATAGCGACCTCAACTCAATCCTCGACTGAAGCACTGATATATTAAATGAGAGAATTACTTTAATTAGCGCTGCGACTTATTGAAGACAATAATGGAATCATAGGTTGAACTCAAACTGAACGAACAGTCATTTTAGCAGCCCTCATGATGCGCCGCTGCCGCAGCGTCCTAAGTCTCCTCCTGTAGGCGCCCGCCAGAACCTGACGGTGTAAGGTCTTCTGATGACGAGGGCTATTGTACGTTTACAATATTGGCAGCAATTGTACGTGTACAATATTGGCAGTAATTGTGCATGTACAATATTGGCAGCAATTGTACGTGTACAATATTGGCAGCAGTTGTACGTGTACAATATTGGCAGCAATTGTGCGTGTACAATATTGGCAGCAATTGTGCGTGTACAATATTGGCAGCAATTGTACGTGTACAATATTGGCAGCAATTGTGCGTGTACAATATTGGCAGCAATTGTGCGTGTACAATATTCCAGGGAACGCAAACAGCACAAGCAATTATTTTTCGTAATCTCTTCACAGACATTTGTCTTGATTTTCTGGTAACGCACCAACTAGCGCTTCAAAGCGCATACGTAACGGCTAACTTACCAGATTAATTTTTAACAACTTAATAGCGTCTTCTCCAAAAATTTGATATACTATAAATTTTTTCCTTTAACCTTGCTGTTTGTCATCAAGGATTTCTAGTAAAAATATTTCTTGCACTTTCAATTATCAAGTCAGTTCCATCAATACTGTCAGTTTTGGCACTGACAACTCGTACGGCTAATTTGTGCGTGGATTTGGCACAAATTTGCACACTCGAACGATATACTTTGCACACATTGACTTCGGTCAACTTGGCTTTCATGCATTCGTATTGTCGATACAGATGACCGTACGTTATTCGTACGAGTACGAATAATAGTCCAGTGTGAGGACTAACACTTGCAGTGCTCAAATTCGGACAAGCAGATGTAATCACAAGCAATCTTAACACGAATTACGCGTATTAGCTAAGCGTTTAAAATTTAGCTAATAAATTCACTAATATTCTCAACGTAAGTATCGTACGACTTCGATGAGCACACTGTTGACAATGTTAAATAATGCAAATTGCCTATAAATCAATTACAGCAACTCGTCCAACTAGCTCGATTAGAAATTTATGTATGAAAATTTTCGATTGGACACATTTTTATATCGCACCAGCAAAATAATTTATAACGCTATTAAGAGGTTTATTCGGATTTGAGTAGGAAAAAGGCACTTCAACATTTCGAAAAAAGAAGCGGTCATATATTTTCTTTTTTGGCTCTCTAAAATTAGGTAAATTAACATATACCAGCTATGAGATATCAAATGGTGAACGTCATAAATGAATGAACTGCTTGCATTTTGTGTGAGAATCCGAAAAAGTGCAGGAAGAAAATTCTTCGACCAATGTATGTGTCTTTTATAATAATAATAAACGTTTAATTATGGATGAATTATGAGTAAATGTATTCATTCATTTTGTATGAGATTAAGAAAATTTGTTCGCAGTAAACATAACCAGCAATGTATGTACATTTGTCCAACGAAGAAGGGAGCATGTGCATATATACACTCCATCGTCAAAACAAACCAATTTTTACACTAAAATGATCGACAAATAAAGCTCTCTGTTCAGTCCCACAAAAAAGAGCTGATGCAATAAAATCGAAGGGACATATACATACATTATATACAAACAATGTTCCAAGGATGTTATACAGCACACTATAGTTTGATATTCGATATTAATTCTCACACCTAAACCTAACCTTTAAAATTAAGACTGATAAGTTTTTTTACGCGAAAGTAAATATTTACACTGTGAGGAGCCTTGAACAATCGGTTAGACGAAGCATTTAGCAATAATATTCCAATATATTTTAAATCCTGATATTTAATGAGGCAAATATTGAAAATAATTAACGTGTACTAACCGTTATTCTCTAAGAGTACCTGATAAATAGTCGTTTTGCCACTGAGTGGTTCACCAACGATCACTATACCATGTCGCACTTTCAGCATAGCGTGCAGCTGCAGAATCTTTTGCAGCTGCTCTTCCACCATCTGTACGGTAGAATATAATGCGTATAAACATGTGAAGCATCATCGAACACTTGTTTCGTTAGCTTAAAGCTGCGCAATTGTCCAGGTGTCGTCCAACGGTTGCTGGCTATGATTCGTGCGAGAATTATACCTATATATTTCGGTCTTAACCGTACCTATATGTTGCCTGTAACAGCACAAATTTAATAGTCGTAACATTACCTAAATGTTGGTGTTAACCATACGTATATGTTGGTTGTATTCATACCCATTTATTGGTCGCAAACGGACCTATATGTTGCTTGTATCAGTACAAATTTGATGTCCGTAACTTAACCTAAATGTTGGTCGCAACCATACGTATACGTTAGTTGTTATCATACCCATTTTTAGGTCGCAACCGTATCTATTTTCGGTCGCAACCATACGTATATGCCTGGTCGTAATTGTACCTATATGTTTGCTGTAACAGTACACATTGATAGCTGTAATATTTACCTATATGTTGGACGTGTCGCACTTTTATGTTGGTCAGAAGCAGATTGTCCAACCAGCATCTGATCTTGACACATGCTTAAATTATGCTATTATAGCCGTACCTATTTGTTGGTCCTAACTGTAACTACATATGTTGGCCGTCTGCAAACAGTCCATCTCAGGTGTATTAATGATAATTATCAACCATCGAGACATTATATTCATTACTCTTATCATTCGAGTGTTTCGTCATCGGCTCGATAGTTGATGTTTGTGCATTAGTTAAGAATAACATAATATAACATACTATATCATAATATCAAGGCCAAACCTTAAAAACATGAAGCCTCGATTAAACTGAAAAACTAAGGTGAAATAAAATACATGTGTTAGTTTAAATTAACAGTTGCAATGAAGATTTCCGCAAAATTCTTATTTCATTTTGAATATTATTGGGACTGCTAAAAATTTTGATTGGTGGCAAATGCTGACGTAATTATTCGTTAAACACTTAACCGAAACTCATTGAAACTAAGGTTCGTTGTGAAATTTTGGTCTCATCGCTATAAGTAATGAAATGTAACTTTTACTTTCTTTTTTTCAGTTTAGCATAATCAAAATACAAACGTGTAAAAATTCATGCAGCTATATATAAGGTTATATTTATGATATTTATGACTATGATATGAAATTGAAGAAAATCATTATCCAATCCAGAAAAACCTGTTCTAGGAAGGACAAATAATAAAATATTAACTTATTTTATTGTATGTCCTTCCTAGAACAGGTTTTCTGGATTGGATACTCATTTTCTTCATTATAAAAATCATAGTAATAAATATCATAAATATAACATAAATATAACTGCATAAATGTTCACACGTTTATTCGAGAACACGCGGGGTAAATATATCCATGCCATTAATGAAATTGTAGTGTCTGACTGCATCAATATCGTTAAAGAGTCAACCTGCCTGAAGTTTGTTCTCGGCGAGGGTAGAGAGTATAGCGTCCCTGAGGCCGGTATTGGCGTCAGCGTGCGGGTCGTCGTGAGGGAACAAGTCGTGCAAGATGGCGTTGAACAACGGTACGTCCTGTCAACACGAAGATCATAGACACAAATGCACTGCAGTTATTATTGGCTTAAAAGTTATGGACGCTAGAGTGGTGATGGCGGTGGTGCGGTAGCTCTTGAAGAAAGCGAAAGTGAACATGAAGTAGCACACAGTGATCAGAAAGAGGAGGGAGAAATGGAGAGGACAGTGGCCGCCCTCAGATCAGAGGGCTACTGTGATCTTGACTTGTGTGACTAATTTCTCGTGACAAAACATGGGCCTTTGACGTCTGAAAACTCGTTTGAAGATTGGCAGACTCGGTGTAAAAAATGCAATCAGATTGGCCGGTATTATGCCTAAAAAATGAGTTTAGATTAGATGTACTGGAGAGGTGAAAAAAAAATATAACTCAGTACTCTCTGCAGTGACTGAGAGATAGCGCATTTTCTCGTCGACGAAAACGTGAAGTCATGGACACACGGACGGACAGACGGACATGACGAGCACAATGGCGCATTTTTTCCATAAATGAGAAAATGCTCTAAAAAGACAATAACAAGAGAGATCTCTCGACCACGAACATAGTGTGCCGTTACCTGCGCCAGAAACTTCGGTAAGTTGACGTCCCGCAGCGCCCTGAGCACGATGGCTGCCTCGGGCACCTCAGGGGAGCTGAGCTTAAGGGCAGCGGCCGCAGTTAGGACCGCCTTGATGGCGCGCATGCCGTAGTCGTAGTGGTGCTGCGTCGACAGCTGCGCCGCGCACACGCGATAAGTGTCCACGATCTTGCGGGCGAGGCTGGTGGTACAGACGTTGGTAGGTCTAGATACTGACGTAAGATTAGCAGGCCGCGCATACGCGATAAGTGTCCACGATCTTGCGGGCGAGGCTGGCGGCACAGACTTTGGTAGGTCTAGATACTGACGTAAGATTAGCAGGCCGCGCACACGCGATAAGTGTCCACTATCTTGCGGGCGAGGCTGGTGGTACAGACGTTGGTAGGTCTAGATACTGACGTAAGATTAGCAGGCCGCGCACATGCGATATGTGTCCACGATCTTACGGGTGAGGCTGGCGGTACAGACGGGGAGTGCAGCCGTGGGTTACAAAATTGACTCGTAAACAGGCCCTGGGCCCAACGCAATCATCAGCAGGCAATAACTACACATAGCCTCAGATCAATGAGCTGTGGGTAACTCCGGCTAACAGTAAAACCGCTTTGTACAACACAGCTACTGCTTCACAGCGCCGGAGCACAACTGGCCGGAGCGCAACAGGCCCTACCGCAACAGGCGCAGGTTAGGTTAGATTAGGTTAAGAGTAGCCTGTTGCGGTAGGGCCTGCTGCGCTCCGGCCAGTTGTGCTCCGGCCTGTAGGCGCTGCGGCCTGTGACTGAACGGCGCTGTTGTGGTGGGCGCTTTGTGTCAAAAGCCGTTAAGATGCCCGGCTGCGTTACGCTCAGGAAGGTATATGAATCGCACTGTGGCCTTGGGCTATGCTGGCCTCTAGCTATCCACCCGTACAGACGTTGGTAGGTCTAGATACTGACGTAAGATTGTAGCAGCCATCATTACTTCTTGATTTGGTTCACTAAAGAAACAGGCTAGCTTTTTGTCAATCTGGCTAGATAAATTTTTTCCTGTTCAGTTTATCCCTAGTTCTGTATCTATCAAAAGCCTAATTCGCCGAATAGAGAAAAACAATAAGAAAATTGTCAAAAATAAATACTCTCTGGTCTTCGATGAAACCTGCATTAAAGAAAAACATCTGCCAAACTAGACCAAAGTTCGGTATCGGTAAACAATAAATTTGCTTCACAAACGTTGTCCAGCCTGTGCTTAGCCTTTGTGTGTCCCGAAAACTTTTAATTCAGTATTAGTAACTTGGATCTTTACAAGGTTCAAGTGACATGTAGATATCGTGTGATAGTGCATTGAAAAATATAAAGTAAATTATAAGCATCTAGAGATCGAGAACTGCACATTTCAGAAATTAAGATGATTGTGGAAGCTGAATTACAATACATTACACTTACCTCTCGGCATGTACAAATCCAACTGAAAAAAGCGATATCTTGGCGATCATGGCGTAGTCGGGCACCATCATGGCGACGGTTCTGAAAACATCTTTGACGTTGTCGGGCAGTTCCTTTCGTCCTTCGTAACTGCAACAACAAAAATTTCATTGAGAAAGAGGCCCAAACGAAAGGTTAATAATCAATATTATGGCTCATTTTGTCTACATTTCCCATCAGTGCATTCCATGACCCAATGTTTTGTCCTCAATTAACATATGTACCATTCTTCATAGAATTTATATTATGAATACGTACAAGAACGTAAATGCTTCATCAAGATATTGGTACAATTGAATGATTGGTATTGAAGGTTATTGGCATAATCTTTCACCTATTATTAAATTAGAGGGAAATTGACTGCGGTTGGGCAGATTTTGACAATGTGTCGGTTTAGTAAATAACGTTGATGGCCAAAGGAAGTGATGAGTTAGCCCAATTACCGCCAAGAAATTCAATCTAAAAACGCAAATTGATAACGCCGAAGCTTTCAATGAAATGGATGGCTGATCAATAACAACCAACCGTTACCTAAGGGTTCGAAACTCACGACTAGCTGTGTAAGTTCTGATGGAAAGCAGCACCGAATGCTGAGGAATCAGCGACTGTCCAACATGGCCTGATCAAAGCTGATCCCTTTTTAGTGCATTTTCTCGTTTATTTTAAAAAAGGCGCTACTGTTTTATTATTTATGAGCCTAAATATCATCGCGAACTTTGTAAATAAGTAATCTACGCCTAAAGTTGATGTACTTATATTATCAGCTTGCTTATATCGCAAGTTAACAATAAGGAATCTAAAAGCAAAGAAAACACCAAGCAAATTCACCATATCGATATAGAAAACGTACGTTTCCAATATCGATATGGTAAATTTACTCGATGTTTTCTTTGCTTTTAGATTCCATGTAAAGTTGATGTGTTCTTCAAATTGTATGCATTTAATTACCTGGGGTTCATAGTGATGAACATGGCACACGTTGGGTTTAATTTCATTTCTTGTCCATCGAAGTAAAACATGTGGGCTTTTTTGGAGACCGCAGCCTGAATGCATGAAACCTAAGAAACATATTTTGAACAATTTATTGATTAGGATCTGAAGCAACACTTCAGCACGTACTTGGCTTGCGATGGTTGTTTGGCAAGATTAAAGTTTATATTATCGGACAGGGCGGGTTACATCACACATAGAATAGAATAGAATAGAATAATTGTCGGCGTTGAAGAAATAGGCCCATGGCCTGTTGCCGATTCTTTGCCTTTGGAACCCGATCTTTCCATAGCTGACGATTGATTGAGATAGCTGCTGGACTTATTGCCTGGTCCGTAATTTGCTAGGCATTTTAAGACTGAACATATGCTCCTGCATAGCTTCGTCTTGCAAAATTCAAACGCTCACGCTTCCGAGGCGTCTTTTCTGTACAGCACTTAAGTCTGAAATGTCACTTTCACATTCATGTCACGTTCTCTAAAGGGGTGGCTATAAATCAAATGCATGTAACTTTTTAGATATGCTGCTATTTTTCTCAAAGGATCAGTAATTTTTATTGATATTTCCTCATTTCCATTGTTGGACTCTTGATGAGGATCATATAGCATAATAAATAAAAAATCATATAATAAAAAAGTTTGCTGAGGCAACGAAGCACAGTACAGAATTAGTTCGCTCTCTAGGTTTTATGCATAGTTTATTTAACTGCTCAAATGTAGGTAGCAATTAATAAGTTGATAATTATCGCAATAGTTCAGAGCTCCTTTTTTTTTAAATTTTGCTTCTCTCAGGTACGCATTAATTGTATCTGATCAATGGTACGAATCGAATTTATATAATGATAAAGCACGAATCAAAATTTAAACAAAAAGCGAGAATAAAATCAAAGGCCTCCAGTGATTGACGTGGCAACGCACGAAGTAAGAAACAATAACTAGTAATTTGCACAAATATGAATAAAATATGAAGCAGGGAGAGGAGGGAAGAGTTAGGGAGATAAAAGAATAATGCAAAGAAAAACACTATTGATGAAAATAAAGAAAAAATGGGAGAAGATGAAGAGAAATGTGTAAAAGAGAACCAAGCTTATGAAGAGATGCTGAAACAAAAAGCAAAAATGGAATAAATATAGCGGAAAATTCTACAAATAAAAAATATGCATAGCTGACTTCTAATATAGTATCTCAAGATAAAAACAACATTCCGGTGAACAAGTAAACGTGGTATATGCAAAAATACGTTTTTAAAAAACCACGGCTGAACGCGATTCATTGAATAATTGTTGAAACATGAACGGGCTTGCAAATAAGAGATACGAGGAAGTAATTAATGAAAAGAAGTGATTGTTTCAAACGTATAACTTTACCTGTTGGCCCACGACGGACAGCACCGACAGTTCTATGCGGTTGAACTCATCGAAACAAGCCCACGCACCGCTCTGCGCCACTCCCTGGTGAAAAGAAACCGTTTCGTCTGAAAATCCATGAGCTTCCTAAAACTTATTTGTTGAAATTATGCTAACAATGAAAATAAAAAGATAATAAAATAAAAAATAACAATGCTTTCTTCAGCAATGTTAATGCTTTTCATGTCTTATTAATCAAAAATTAAGTTAAGAATATCACTGTCGCCGCTCAGCATCATTGAGTTAATTTACTTCACTGTTACCACTAACCATGTAAGAGAAGCATTTTCTTGCCCTATATTGATTTAAAAATTCAGGTAAGAATTTCGATGCGTCTCGAAGCACCTCTGACCAAACCACAAGAAAAAAATGAATTCAATACATTTATCTATAAACTAGATCAGAATTATTAATAATAATTACAGGATTCCTTGTCACTATTTTAAGGCGTACTGCAGCCTGACGTGATAAGCTTATAAATTATTAATTTTATTATGCATCGGTTAATTGAAAAACAAAAGTTGCAAGCATTTTGTGTAGCATCTTCTGCGAACCTGCATGCATTCCTCGTTGGTGAGGTATTGCAGAGGGAAGTGAATATATTTGAATATATTGAATATATGCAACAAATTGAATATATTCGATTTTTTTGCGGTTAAAATTGTACTTTACTAGGCTAACAGCTGTCAAAGAATCCAACTTTGAAATACCTTGAAGAATTTTGACATGGCGCGGCAGTCAAGCGCCTCGGAGCAGTTGAAGACAACGCAGAGTTTGGCGACGGCCTTGGCGAGGTCCTTGCAGGTCTCCGTCTTGCCGGTGCCAGCGGGTCCTTCAGGGGCGCCCCCCAGACACAACCGCATCGCCGACAGGAGAGTCCTGAGGGAGCTTTGTAGTGAGGGTTATTGGGAAGAATTTATCGGCATCTGAGAACTCGATACGTTCGGCCGAAGATACGTTCGGCCGAAGATACGTTCGGCCGAAGATACGTTCGGCCGAAGATACGAATACTTGAATACAGAATACTCGATAAGTTCCTTTTGCCGGGCCGAAATGGATCACGATGGCCCCGCCATAAGGAAAAACCTGCAATTGCAGTTGGACAAAGTCGCACCAATTTCACTGACTGTAAGTTCAACAGTTAAAGTTTGTTAACATCCGAAACCGGACCTCTGTTTTTTCCAGAGGAAAACGTTTGTTGACATCAGAAACAGAACGTTTATTGACATACAATGCAGAACTTTGACGCCCGTAACAGACCGTTGACACCCTGAAAAGACCATTTACACTCAGAACATAACGTTTACATACGTAACATGCAGTACACCTGTTAACATCTTGAACAAAACGTTTATTGACAGCCAAGACAAAACGTTTATTGACATCCAAGACAGAACGTTGAAATCCGGAACAGAAAGTTGACATCCGGAACAGAACGTTGACACCCGGAACAGAACGTTGACACCCGGAAAAGACCATTTGCACCCGGAATAGAACGTTGACATACGGAAAAGTACACCTGTTAACATCTTAAAGAAAACATTCATAGACAACCAAGACAGACCGTTGAAATCTGTAACAGAACAAATCTGACCTGAAGCATCGGTCTGTGAGGGGCGTGACGACGAGCCTGGACGTGTTGCCGAGATACTCGTAGCCGTAGAGCAGCGACGTGTAGACCATGTGGACCACGACCAGCTCTTGCTGCCACCACAGCCGCAGTTGACACACCCACGCGAACGATCCCACGTCACTCACTTGTTTCCTGATAAGCTCGTCTATCACGTCACGACCTGACACAGACGAAAACAAATAGCACGTCACGTCTATCACGTCACGACCTGACACAGACGAAAACAAATATCACGTCACGTCTATCACGTCACGACCTGACACAGATGAACTAAATATAACTCAGTACTCACTGCAGTGAGTGACAGAGAGCGCATTTTTTCGTCGACGAAAACGTGAAGTCGCGGATAGACGGACGGACATAACGAGCACTATAGGTAATTTTTTCCATAAATGAAAAAATGTGCTAAAAATAGAACAATGAAGATATTTGAGGTCTCAAGCGCAGATTATTATCAACCCGCCGCGGATCTGACATTGAAACAGAGTTAATTGAACATTGTTTCAACGAAATCAACGTCGCTTCTAAGTCATTTGCATGAAAGGAAGCATGATTGCCTGGTTAAGTAGCAGGTTTATCTGAATATGGTAGTCGTTTAATCTGAATACAGGCAAGCGTCTGACAAAGTTGTTCAATGTTGTTTTGTTAGATTATTTTGTGATTTGAACCTGCAGATTTATTCGTATACGTTCAAAATAGTGACGAATAAAATTTCAAGCATTTATTAAAGCAAATCGAGCGAAGCAAATTAAAATTCATAATTATTGATTTGATAGGTAGAAGTGCTTATGGGTAATTCAAATTAAATTTTGGGTACTCAATCCTGATTATTTTCTAATACTAAGACCAAATAATTTTAAGGCTTGGAACGAAAACCCCTTTTATAAGCTTATATTTCAGTTACTCATACCCACCATGGACATACGTCACGATGATGGCCCCAATGATAAGCTTATACGTCAAGGACTTGTACCCACCATGGACGTACGTCACGATGATGGCCCCCAAAGTGATGCGGGTGGCTGTGTCCAGAGGACCTCGTATCATCTGTACGACCTCTTCTATGCGCTGCTGTGCGACGTCGCGTAACTCCTAGGAACAAAATTTGCATTTTGATCTTTGCTAAAATCCTCTGTATCTTGATCAAACTGTGCTAATTTTTTATTCGTTACGATAACAATATTCGTCTGAAAATTTGAGGTAATTGAAGAATTAAAAAAAAAATATGCGCCATATCACATATATCAGATAGTTGATGTTGAATGGTCACCATATCTTGATGAAACTGTTGTAATTTTTTTCGTTATGATAACAATATTCGTCTGAAAATTTGAGCCGACAGAAGAATTTTTTATAGTTGAGCTGTATCACATACACCAGATAGTTAGTTTTTAATGATTAATTTTCAGCGGGGAATAAAGAATGTTATATTATCTCTATAGATTATATAGTTAATACTTATGCGCCACACAAGCATTTTCATCCTAACATCAGCATACCATTTTGATCGTTTATGGGTACGCATAGATTGTGCGTCTGTACAAGAGTAATAATGATTTTGATCGGAGTTTTTCAATAGTACGCAACATAACTTTCCGTAAAAAATAGTCTAGTTGATTTCCTGCAATCTTCGTAATTATATTTTTGTGATTCGTCCTCTAAATGGTTCTAGCAGATACCTCGTCTAAAATTCAATTACCACGAAAGTTTTACAAAAATTTAACATTAATAATATGTCTACAAATAATAATGATTTCTATTCACTGCATCGAATTGACGAGTTTTTTTCACATACCTTGTGTGAACGAAATGAGTGTCTAATTATTTATTGGATTTTGAACGCATTGCTTCATTTACTCGCTTACACTTGAATGTGTTCGCTGGGCTCTGTTTGGTAGTTGAGTTTCAAGTTCAGCGCAAGGGTGGAACATTTATTAAATGTTTTGGTGGTAAAAGTGTATAAAAGACAAACTATTTTCAATGTGCTACAAAACAGAATAGAGTTTGAATAAAATAAATATAAGTAAAATAAATTATTTTCAATCTGATAAAAACAGAATAGAATTTGAATAAAATAAATATAAGCAAAATAAAAGATTTTCAAAGTGATAAAAAACAGAATCGATTTAAAATAAAATAAATAAAAGTAAAGTAAATAAATAAAATAAAAAATATCACCATGGTCTCCCTGCGTGTAACGTCACCACACGACACTCACATTGAGCGTGTTACAGCGGATGGCATTCTGCACTTCAGTGGTCCAGACGACTAGCGCGACTGTGATGACGACTTGACTGGGCCACCGGAGCAGCCAGTCGCGGTGCAGCAGCTGAGAGTGACTCTCCACCGCCCGCACCATCACGTCTTGCAGTGACTGCACCATCATCACTTCCACCTCACCCAGCCACCGCTCCACCAGTCCCTGGCAAGTTACTATTCATATTTTTATCAATCATATGGGATAAAATGAGAAAAATCAAATCCCATTACCATCATTTATACGAGATAGAAAATGAGATTAATCTAACTAAAACTTTCTTTTTAGTGAACTAAACACATGTTAACTTTTTAGCGCATTTTCTCATTTATGGAAAAAAGGTGCTATTGTGCTCGCCATGTCCGTCCGTTTGTCCGTCCTTGACTTCACGTTTTCGTCTACGAGAAAATGCGCTCTCTGTCACTCACTGCAGTGAGTACTGACTTATATTTTTTACCAATTTACCCAAAGACGTTCATCTCAATTTGCCCCTGTTGATCAAACAACTGTCAATATACCTGGCCGAATTAATGTGAAAGCCACCACAATCATAGTAGAGATGAATAAGGGGTTTATAATATAATTTAAACTTGACTTCTGATTTGACAACTCAAATTGAAAATCTTTTTCTAGAATCTGCAATACTTGAGTTGTAAGTGTAATTTTTATTAATATTGCCTAAGGGTTTCAAACGCAGTTTTGAAATTTTCCAGGATGATGAACCGAAATTTTTGAAGAAGAAGACTTAAACTAAACACTTTGCAAGAAGGAGTAAGGATTAGCCTCATGATAAAAGGATTAAAAGATGTAGTTTTATTAAAAGAATTTATTGTGAATGGTTTTAATCCACATGCTATTCAAGATCTAATTAAATCCATCGCTCTCTAATCGCTTTAACAATTTTGTGGATAAGTGACTGCGAAATACTTCAATTATTTAGTGTTCTTGTTAGCTGGCAAAAATATGATAAATTTATTTATATTCATTTAAATTCGAGCAAGTTTCAACGTTCCAAACATTAATTTATTTATTCGTTCCAAAAGAACTATATTGTATTGAAAAATATAATTATCAGTTATACTTCCTCTTTCTACATCTTGATACGAATCTCTTCGTACTATTCTTATCCCGATGGGAAGGAAGTGTATCTTCAAGTGTATGTTTTACTTTTAATATCTTCAAGTATATTTTACAATCATGTTGTGTTAACATTGTTATAGGTGTTTTTTTTTGTACAATCAAGTAGAGGCCCTTTTCCAAAAAGATTTTTTCGCCATATTAATTTTAACTTAAATTGCTTTATTTTTCGTTTCGTTTCTAATAATAAGTCGCTGAAATGTTTATTATTATTAACCCTTAAGCAAGCCGCCAATATAAAGGGAATTGAAGAGATAACTTCCTTTCTTCGCGAACTCGTCAGACACCAAACACGTTCAGTTTTCATACAAATCTAGCAACGTCGTTTCTTCAATATTTTAGCTTTCTTCATGCAATTTTGACAGAAACAGAGCATTCTCATTATAATCAATCCACTTATATCTAAGAGAGGTATAGATCCATAATTTAAGCTAGCCTGAAAAGAAAAAGACGATTTTAAGATTGATTTATTAATATTTACTTCTATCATTAATGAAATTATTATCATCAATTACATTTTCCATCCTTGATTCAAGCAAATTTTGGATCTAAATATTTAGTTTCTGATGAAGGCAGCACTATTCTCACCCTGGCCTTAGCAGGGATGACCCTGTTGCTGAACTGCACCAGCTCGCCCTCCACTGAGCACATGCCTTCGATCTCCATGTGCTGTGAGAAGTGCAGGCTGTGGATGCCTGCGCGTCAGATCATGCGCATGTATTAAAAAATAATACAAAATTATTAATAAACAATAATCTATTATTAATAAACTAAATAATATATGATAAATAAATACTTAAATAATAAATAAATAATAAATGATAATAAATGATAATTAAATAGATAATTCAGCAAGCCTGTATGTAAATATTCACAAATAAATTTTTTAAATAACACTAATAGTTGTATTATACAACGATAAGCAGGATCGTTGAATTTGAAGTCATCGATTGAAATGATGCATCGGAAATCAAGGAAATCATGTAGAGGGAGAAAATTTAACAAATTACTTAATATGTTCCCCTACAAAATGGGTCTCGTTTATATAATAATAAAGTATCTTCTTTTACTCATTTTAACTGAATTTATAAAATATCAACATCTCGAGCGTCAAGTGACGTCTTGCATTTGGAAATCTTTGGTCGCACTGAAGTGTCTGGAGGCAAAGTCAATGAAAGTTTAAATAAAAGAATTAATTTACATTTTACCTTCGAAGCACTTGCGAAGGTGAGGCTGAACGCGCTTCGGGTCTTTGGTCTCCGACAAGATCTCCAGAAGCTCGTCGTTGGACAGGAAGAAAAACCTGCATAGCGATACTTTATATCAGTGGGCGAGAAAAAAAACCTGCGCAACAAAATTTTACGTTAGGATACATAAAAAATACACTGCAAAAAAACTACACTTACACCAAGGCACAAGATGCAAGACCTACATAGCAATATTTTATATCAGGAGACAAGAAGAAAAACCTGCACAAAAATATTTTACATAATGATTCAGGAAGAAAGACCTATACTGTAATATATTTCGTAACCAGGCATGCAAAAAATATATATGTAAAAAATATATAAATGTAAAAATATATAGGCATGTAAACACAATCGCTTACTTTGCACGCTTAATAATAAAAAAATTACAAGGAAGAGGATTGAGGCGTTAACTTGAACTATTTTCAGGACGGTAAGTATGAGTAATATACATTTGACGAAACATATAATCATTTCATCAAAGTTGAGCCGTGTAGAAGACTTGGAATATAGGACCTTTTTCTTGAATTTCGCTCCAATTAATTATTTATTCAACTACCAAATAGAAATAAGACATGAAATAAAAAATATAACTCAGTACTCACTGCAGTGAGTGACAGAGAGCGCATTTTCTCGTCGACGAAAACTTTAGGTCATGGACGGACGGACAGACGGACGGACAGACGGACGGACAGAAGGTCGGACAGACAGACAGACGGATATGGCGAGCACAATAGTGCATTTTTTCCATAAATGAGAAAATGTGCTAAGAACGTAAAACGTTTGCAAGATTTGTGGTTTAAGATTGCTTCAAGGTGCTAAGGATACGTATAAAATAGCTATGAAAACAATACAACAACTGGAAAAAATATTAACCAAAAATATTGAATTATTTCCTCGTATGTAGCACTTTTCTGGTATGTCTCGTATATTCGTTCGCAAAATGATAACAAGTGGGAATGGAATTGTTTTTCATGATTTTTTGTCATAGATATATTGTAATATTTAATATGTCAACCTAATGGCAACATTATGTTTTATTAACCTTTTACCATTACGTATATGAGGCCGTACTGAGAAATATCGCAAACTATTAGCAAAAAGTATTGGTAAATAAATAATTTTTTTCAACTGACATACAGCACACGCGCTCTGAAAAAAAGGATTTGTTGGCGAACTGAACTAAAAAGATGGGCTAAAATATTGTGCAGAGGAATCAATCATCAACCCGCACATGTCAATCAATGAAATCGAACAATCAGTCATCTCCATCTTCGATCAATCATTCCTGGTGGTGAAGCATATCAGTGAACACGTCGCTGAGAACATCTGGCGCTGTGAACCTGTCATTCAAAGTAATAAATTTATACAATGCCGATTCTACGTTCGTAGCCAAATATCAGTCAAATAATAGGCCAGCATAGAGTACGGCAGTGCGAAGCGCTGATGTCAACCACCTGCCTGCACGATGTGAGAATTAAAGTTCACTGAAAAACGCATGAAAAATATTTTTATACAAGATTTATAAATATTTATTAAACAAAAACTTTAAAAAAATCATCCTCATAGAATCGTAGGGTAAAATTACAGATGTCGGGTGTTCAAGCGTTGTTTGTTCGCCGCCCGCTCGTCAAGATGATATCGTTTAACTCAACCTATTATTCTTTATTATTGAGTTGAGAGTGAGCAGTATGACCGCATGAATGAGGAGCTCAAGACAGTAAACGTTTTCAGCGAACTTGTTAGTATTTTTCGTTCGCTTTCAATTTTCCGCATCCGAGTGGAGTTATCTTTAAATAATTGTGACAAATGCACCTCCAATACTTATCACTTGAAAGGTACCTCTAATGGATTTACTTTTTTATTGGATATTTAGAAAACCGTTCCATACAGATGAATAACATCAGAAATTGGATGCATATCATCACAGCTCGCTGGACATTTAAATACAATAGGGTAACATGGGGCAGCGAGCCCACTGCGGGTCACGGGCCCATAGCGGGTTTCTCGCTAAGTATGGCAGATATTGGTCCGTGTTCTCTTCCGCCGGTCGACAGTTTCACTGGGATGAAGTGTACGGATTTACGTTTTGCTAAATGTTTGCGTTATTAAGTTCTTTGCGAATAACTGTTTTAGTCTAAAAATTGAATAACTCTATAGGCGTCTAATTCACATCATACATTCCTCATTAGTTGCACCTTTAAACAAAACAAAGAACCACCTCGTATCAATTAAAACTTCATCAAAAATTTAGTTTAAAAAAAGTGGGGGGCGCGCTGCCCCACGTTGCCCTACGTTCTTCCCCAGTATGAAATTCAGATTTACTTCTTCCACTCTCTGCTACCTCATTAAAAATATGTGCAATGACAATAGCGGCAAATTTTTCAATAAAGTCGTTTAAAAAATTATACAAACATTTCCAGAAATCATTATGGCCTCACGTTTAATTCAACGCAAATTCTCCGAGCAGCTATTCTACTTCTATGCCACTGGACAATCACTATCCGAAATCCTTTTTAGCAAACACTCCACAGCAATAATAATATAGTAACTCCACAATATATTATTATTCTAATGGACTTAGCATGGTTCGTTGAAACTACTCCTGCATCTGATACAGGTTTTACATCCAATATTACTCCATGTAAGAGATTCATAACCTTCATGGCAGCCATGAACAACCTCCTATAGCTACAGCACAGCATATTGGTAAAGGGTTTTCAGCCCCAATTTAATCCCATGAACCTGACATGGCAGCTGACAAAAGGGACACCTGAGCCTTGATTTACCAGAGTGCAGCTCTTTTTACTCTCCACATGAGGTCGTTGACCCAACTCTCGATTATTCATGAATATAAAAATTTGAGCAGGTGGACTTCTTATGCATAGGAATACATCAATATTATTACAGAGATGTATAATAATGAAGGACTTAAATTAAGTTTTTAGCGCATTTTCTCATTTATGGAAAAAATGCCCTATTGTGCTCGTCATGTCCGTCCGTCTGTATGTTCGTGACTTCACGTTTGATGAAGTGACTTCACGCTCGTCATGTCCATCCGTCCGTCTGTCGCATGATCCTTTCATCCTGAAGAAATACTATTAACCAGAAAAGTAGTTCATATTTGAACGGAATCTTCTGAATGAGCTCAAGTTTATACATCGAGAAATAATTTCCCATGGGCACGTTATGTTTTGTGGGAGCAATGCGATTCTTGATTCTTTTAGTGCGAGGAGACAAAAAGAGATTGACGGTAATTTCAAGTCAAGGGCGAGGAATTGTAAGCAACCGAAGTGAAATATCAACTTTAATTCGAACATAGGCTTTGCTGCAAGTGTTCTGGAAATTTGACCGCAAGTGTTCTGGTTCGGCAAGTGTTCTGGAAATTTGACCGCGTTTCAGTAGAATCAGCAAAACTAGAGGCCAGGGTTTCTACTGAAAAAAAGGCTATTGAACGCATCACAAATCCCATACTGGAGGCCATATAAACTTCAAACGTCACCATCAACTGTCATTTTTTGTAGGCACTCAAATTGTGAGGAGTCGATTTCAGCCTCTCAAAAATTCAATAGGATGAGATGGGAATATTCATGGCGAAGATACGAACTGAATTATTGGCTAGCACACATGGTTGGTTATAACGCACCTGGTTCAGAACTGAAAATAAGTCAGGCGCTCTGATATTTTATTGAAGTGCTACACAAGCGACCCAGTCTGTTGCTTATTATGCAGGGCGAAGGAGTTTTCAGTTACTATATTAGAAATATTCCTACGTAGAAATATCAAGGCAATTAAAATAACTCCAGACATAAGAAAAATGACCGTAGGACAAACCACAGTAGTTAAGGAAGCATTAAAGTACGACTGAATAGTTAGTTAACATAATAATCAAAGCAACGAGCTTTGCATTCAAACTGGCTGAAGAATCATACGTCATTGTTCTTTCCTATATGTTCTAACTTTGGATTAGAACATTTATACAAACAAACTATATAAAATATCAAGCATAAATTTGCCGAATTAAATTAACATAGATTGCATCACCAATTGAGCAGAATTTTGCTAAGTTATTTATCTTCAAAAATTTAACCCCGTCAGTAGCTCGACTCTAAAGCATTAACGAGCTCGTTTCAGAAGAAGCATCCGCTATTTCTTACCATATTCTCTATGCGAAATATGAACTGTCCAAGCTAAACTTGAATGCGAGCCTAGCTATTATTATTATGTATATATACAGGGAAGTTTTTCTAGAACTTCATAGTTAAGCTGGTTTTGATGGATCGGGGACCTGTTATAGATAAGACATTGAAAAAGTAATCTTATAGAACAACCATAAATGCATTTAGTGTGCCGGCTGAAAATTCATGGTATCTCTGTACACTAAACTGCATCGTGACTCATGCAGTCAATGCAAGAAATTTTCAAAATAGTGACTTGCAAATCTTCGGTACAATTTAAGCCGAGATGTGGCCTTACAACAAGGCCATAAGACAAATGATACAGCCATATAATTTTCAGTATAACCAGAACATATTTCGAGGCATATCGTAATTACTGAATTTTAAGGGATTTCACATTTTTTATCTGTGCCCCCCTCTGTTGATTTTACTAGAATTAATGGGACGCATGGAGAATTTTACATATGCCATATATGTAATTTATATGTACCGGGGGCTAATTTAAATGGGTTCGCAGGCATATCAAATTCTTTATTTTTTCCCCTGAATTTTCTTATGGAGTAAACCGGGCTCAGAGTAAAATCAAAATATTCTAGTAGGCTATTTCATAATATTGTATTACTTCAGTATTATGAACTAGCCGGTACCTAGGGAAGTACAGTCGCTTCTTCTCCAGGTAGGTGTTAAGGCCTTTATGTATCTCCTCCAGGAGCGCGTTAGCGACCTGCAGCGTCTCCAGCAGCCCTTCCTCTGCCGTCGCCTCCAGCGCCAGCGGACTCCGGCTCGCCACCTCCATCAGCGACCGCCACGTCGCGTCCACCTAAGCGTAATAGAGTAACTTACATAGAATACAATAGAAGTGTCGGCACTGAAGAAATAGGCTCATGGCCTGTTGCCGATTCATGTGCTTTTCGTGACTTAATTCACAAGGGATCCGGCCTTTGGAACCCGATCTTTCCATAGCTGACGATTGATTGAGATAGCTGCTGGACTTATTGTCTGGTCCGTAATTTGCTAGGCATTTTAAGACTGAACATATGCTCCTGCATAGCTTCGTCTCGTCTGTTTTTGAAGATGTTCATACTCGGAGCGTCAACGATGCTATCAGGGAGGCTGTTCCACATGTCGGTGACTCGAAGCGAGAAGAAATGTTGTCGCATGGATGTGTTACAACGCTGTTTTTTTAGTTTATAGCCGTGGCCCCTGGTGTTGGTTCTTGTTTTAAATTCTAGTAATCCTTCTGGGACCTTGTATAAATAATTCACTCGTTGATCATGATTAGTTTCTCGCAAGAATTTACCTTATAAAGGTCAATATAGCGACATTTGTTCGGCCAAACCATGGAACGAAAAATCTTTTTGCAAACGTAAGGAAGATATTGGAAATGAATTCCATAGGGGACGAATGAAGTCGGAAAATTATAACCCTTGCAACAAGCATGTAGACAAATGTTAACAGACATATTGACTGTTAAACTTGAATTGTTAAAAAATATCACACGGCTCAATTGTGGTCTCTCAAATTTTTTATTCATAATGTTATCGGGTTGTGTTGCTTTCAATCATTTCAAAATCACCATTATAAACATTTTAGTTGAAGCCAATTAATATGTGACTAAAAGGTAGTTTTCCAACCTTTAGTTAGAGTACACGAGTGTCATTGTAGTTTCTTATCCCGGAAGTTCATACCTTGTGTGTCAGTTGATTAAACTGAATGAAAGAAAAGAGACAGGACTAATTTTTTCCGAAGCCAAATTTGAATTTTTTCATCCAAACACGGACATTTAAATTTTGACGAAGCCTGGGGCGTTTACGCCGGGGAGAAAGTGAGTAATAACAAGTAATGTGGTTTTTACTACGTGGCTTTCAATTCGTGAATCGCCCGCAATGTAAATTATAGGATAACGTAGCAACGATAAATAACCATCATGCAGGAACTAAAGATTTTTCTATTCGGAAGTTCCAAGTATCCCTGCTGGTGCATTAAAAAAAAAATAATAATAATAAACCAAATTGAACTTATTTTAATTTAAATTGCGTTCATATCATTTATTTCTTAGAACTTTCGTGGTCAAGCATTCATATGCAAATAGTTCATAAATCTTTTGATTATATTAAAAGAATTTCTAGGAACTAAAAATAAGAACATAAAATGCAACACTAAGGAGCAAATTTATTATAAATTCAATAACTTCACACATGCTCTGATTATCGTAAAATATCTGTGAATATGAATTGGATCTGTGAATAAGAATCGTATATCGGACTTACAAGTTACCTTAGTAAACTTTCGCCCCTCCACAGGCATCTGCTTGAGGATGTCCTCTGAAGCGAAGATGGGCTCCAGGTACAACCAAGACACCTGACACTGTGGGAGAGCGACGTATTAACATTAAACTTAATGGCTGTGTGCCTCATGAACGAATGAACAAATTTTGTGAACCTTTTAAAAGGTGACCTCGTCTCTTAAACCCTTTAAGAGGTGACCTTGTCTCCTAAACCCTTTATAAGAGGTGACCTTGTCTACTAAACCCTTTAAGAGGTGACCAATTGTCTCCTAAACCCTTAAAGAGGTGACATTGTCTCCTAAACCCTTTAAGAGGTGCCCTTGTCTCCTAAACCCTTTAAGAGGTGACGTTGTCTCTTAAACCCTTTAATTAAAAGGCGACCTTGTCTCCTAAACCCTTTAAGAGGTGACCTTGTCTCCTAAACCCTTTATAAGAGGTGACCTTGTCTTCTAAACCCTTTATGAGGTGACCTTGTTACCTAAACCCTTTAATGTTGCGTGCTCACCGTGGTCCAGGCGTCGAAAATATCCTCCATGGAGAGCAGCCTGTATCCTAAACCCTTTAAGAGGTGACCTTGTCTCCTAAACCCTTTAAGAGGTGACCTTGTCTCCTAATCCCTTTAATATGTTGCGTGCTCACCGCGGTCCAGGCGTCGAGAATATCCTGCATGGAGAGCAGCTTGTGCTCCCAGGCGCGGATCTCGCCCTCAAAGGGCCTCACGTACGGCGACCCGCGCATCGTCTGCGCCTTCTGCGTGTGCTCGTCCAGCAGAGCTTGGATGTCCTCCACCGACGCCAGGATCAGGGCTCCAGTTTCTCTGGTAGAGGATTTTTGATTAAACTGGGGCCATACTTTCAAAATTTGCTAAGTGAACGTAAGTACTTACGCTCTATTTTCTTGCGATAAGTTAACGTAAGTACTTACGCTCTATTTTCTTGTCTATGATTGGTGGATTTTGCTTGAAAGACCGTCAATGATTGGCTGATGAACTTACGATCTCTTAACTTTTTTTGAAAGTATAGGCCCTGTACGATAATCTTCAGAAATATTAAATATCAGTTTTGTTGAGAACAAAATCTTAGTTTTATGGTATACCGAGTTTTTATTAAACTGTTCGAGAATTTTCAGAAATGTTAAATATAAGCTTTGTTGAAAACGAAAACTGAATATAAAAGAGAATATAAAAATATAAGAAGGGTATCTGGGTCTACAAAGTAGAAAATCAGCTCCGGTCTAATAGACAGAATTTAGATTAAGAAAAAATTTTTGTTATCATTTATAAGCCTATGTAGATAAAATATAAGCACTTATATGAGTGATGTGAAACGTTTAACTCGCAAATATTCATGGTACGAAATTATGAAACGTTCTTCCTTCATTTTTTTGTGACCCTTGCGCAGATTCTCAAGTAAAGTTTAAATTTCAGGGAAAATCAGTGAAAAGTCAAATTTCAAACAAGCATCTACAAAGACGTCATCCACGACATAAAATCAAAAATTTCACGATGAATACTGGAACCTTATAACATTCTGCCACTCCTTAATCGAATTAGTTTAATTATTCAAATAAAAAAATTCAAAATAATAATTAATTAATCTTAATTCTAATTACTTACTGCATCTCACATTAATATTTTACTAACAGGAGACAAAATCACAAAGTTTTCCTGTACATCTACTGACCTCCAAGGTTTGAACTCGAACTGTACGGCGCCCCACTCAGTCTTCATCCTATGCAAGGCTTTCTCGAGGGCGAATTCCTTGGACGCGGCATGACTGATCTCCTCCAGTCTCCGCAGGATGGTGGCCAGTCCACAGTCCACCATGTCCGCCAGCGACGTGTCCACCGTGAGCAGCAACTCGGACCCAAGCTCGTCGCTTAGCTTAATTAATGCGAGATAATTGAGTATCGTTTAAAAGAGAATGAAGTAACGTTAGTTAGATAATTAAGCATTGATGAATTTTTAATTCCGCATTGTTTTTAGCGCATTTTCTCATTTACGAAAAAAAGGTGCTATTGTGCTTGCCATGTCCGTCCGTCCGTCTGTCTACTGTCCGTCTGTCCGTCTGTCCGTCTGTCCGTCTGTCCGTCTGTTCGTCTGTCCGTCTGTCTGTCTGTCCGTCCGTGACTTCACGTTTTCTTCGACGAGAAAATGCGCTCTCTGTCACTCACTGCAGTGAGTATTGAGTTATATTTTTTGTATAATAATTTATCGCCGAAAAGAAAATTAACTATCGTTTGTTGAATAATTAACCATCGCTGAGTGGTGGATTAAGCATCGTTTTTTGGATAATTAAACATGGTTTAGTGAGTAAGTAAACCTAGATCGTTACGCGGATAGTACGACATCGATTGTTGGTCAATATAGCATTGTCGAATAGGTAATTCAGTAATGTTTTATGAATAATTACGCCTCATTTAATATATAATTGAGCATCGTTCAATGGATTATTAGGCATCGTTTGATGAATGATTAATTATCGTTTAGAGGATAACTAAGCATGGTTAAATTAATAAGCAAGTAACGTTTAATTTACAAAGGAGCATAGTTTAATTGATAACTAAGCACTGTCAACACGAATAATAAACCTTGTTATAGCATCGTTTTAAAAGCCCCACCAAAGTTTAATGATACATTTTTTAAAAGGGCGCTGTGCAGGTACGATAGATGAGCAGTTTTGAATTTTGCCGCTCACGAATCGTATCTTATTTATTGAGTAATTTGGAAAGTTAATTGCAACGAAGGCATATAACAACAACAATAAATGATTGCTGTAGATAATATTTTCAACAAGACGCACAAGCAGCTATGAAAATGGCTGATAAATAGAGGGGGTTCCTCATTCAGAGGCGAAGAATAAATATTTTACTTGTGTGTAAAATTGTTGAGACCAAATTTATGAAACTAGCGGACAGAGGTGAACCAACAAAGAAACCGCTCATATTTGCACATACACAATTACATGGAAATACAGATCACTTCTTCGTGTTTAAATATGTTGTTCCTGAATATCATATAAATATCATAAGATGTGAAGAGTTTTCTTACGAATTTTCATATTCAAGGCTCCTAGATTGAAATATCCTGGTAATTGTGAAATCATTATCTACAGGCAAGCCTGATCTTTTAAAGGACAGAGTTAATAATAATCTATCTACCAGTTTCAAATTTTTATCGAAAAAGTAATGAAAATTTGTATTTAAATCATGACATTACAATGAATAATCACTTTCTTTTTTTGCTACTTTCATGCTTCACGATAAGCATTAAAAAGTAACTTCTGGGGAAAAGAATTTGCATAGAAAAAAGTGAAGAGTGAAAGGGAAATGGGTGAAACACAATATAAAATGGAATATTAAATGGAAGAACGTGTATGATTGTTCATGAAAGTGAATATACATTTAAAATGAATTTTAAAAGTGGTGTAAAAATCATCGTTTATATGAAAACACAGATATTAATAGCATCATAATATTAGATGAAACGTACAATCAAATTACCTTTTTAAAGAAGTCAATATAATCCCGAGGAAACTAACAGTTAATTCCCTGATAGGACTTAATTGTTTGGTACCTACACTGATTTCATAAATCATTATAAAGCAATTAAGAATGATCATATGAGCGAAACCTAAATGGTCTGGGGCCATACTTTCAAAACTCGATAAGTTAACGTAAGTACTTACGCTCTATTTATTTGTCTATGATTGGTGGATTTTGCTTGAAAGGCCGTCAATGATTGGCTGATGAACTTACGATCTCTTAACTTTTTTTGAAAGTATAGGCCCCTGGCAATTCTAGATTCTACGAACTGACGATGGAGCTGGTCTCCGAAACGTTTTCTATAAAGATATGAATTTTTGTGGACTTTTCTTAGCTTTTAAATTCTTAGTTAATTTGCGATTTAAGCAAACAAGTGATATAAATTCAATTATTATTAGATGCACGTGACATACCTGCCTCCAGTGTCGCTCTCTCAGTCCAGGATTGCAGATACATTGCAGCACAGGAAGGTGGCTGCGGAAACGCTCCAGACGATCCTTGACATACTCCGCCACGCGTCTCGACATGATCTGGTAGATTACAACTACTTATTAGTAACTACTTACTAATAAGTAACTACTACTTAATTAATATTTATATTATCAGTCTGCTTATATCGCAAGTTCACAAGGAATTTAGAAGCAAAGGAAACACCAAGCAAATTCACCATATCGCAAATTCACCATATATTTTTCAGTATTCAACTATTTTATATTTTCAAAACATTCACCCCCTACCAGTGCTGCTGCAATTCTATTCATACACCTAGTTTCCGAGCAAGCGAATCAGATTCATTTTTCCAAATTTGCCTTTTTACTGACGAAAATACTCGCGAAAACTATTAGCAGCATTAAACGACGGGCAAAAGTTTTCTCGCACATTTGTGAGCGGGTAAGAACTTTTTTCGCCAATCGACAACTCGCAAGAATTTTTCTACTTCATTACTGTATTAAGTCAATCTTTTCTCGTGCATGAAACGCGTAAGATTTTCTTAAATTAGATCATTATTGAAAGAAAAACATAATTTTTACAATATATTACTTAATAAGTACAGTAAATATCAAGCACTCGAACATTTGCTGGAGAATTACTCATTCTCGGTAGCTCCGCCTAGCAATACAATGTGTTAGTGTGTGTACCTGAATATGAAATTCCTAGTAAAAACCTGCAACCAAGCGACCCGCACGAATAATACAGGGCGATTCTCGGAAACTTCTTGATTTGAAAGCTCAATAAAAAAGAAAACTAGTATAGATATCATTACAATCTAATTTAATTTTGCATCATTTAGTTTCAAAGATGACATCGGACATGACGGCCCCCATTGTCAATACATTCAGTTAGTCGATTTTTGAAGTTCGGTTCACCTCGCTGAAGCATATTGACGGATATGTTGGCGTATGTTGTTCGTCAAATGAGGTAGGGTCCTTAGACAGTCATTGTAAAACTCTGATTTTAGTTAACCCAATAAACTTTATGATTTTAGCTAACTCTACTTGCCCTAAATGTGTTCACCCATGTAACACTCGCCTCGGCAGCAATAGTACGCAGCTCACTTGTCCAATGCATAGTAGCAACTGACTAGACGGGACACAAAGCTTCATGACCTTACCTTTCATATGAAAGACTCCCCGCTTTTTTCCTTAAACATTTGGCTGCTTGGCCTGGAGTACAAAACTGAAAGTTTCCTTGAATCACTTTGTATTATATTCCTATGATCCTAACGCCTATAGCGAGCCATTTACTCATTATACCGAATGTTATTCCTGAACGAAATTATTCATTTTTCCATCGGGTAAAAGCACCAGGAACAATGCCATAGTGAGCTTAAACATAGTCCTTTACATTGCTTTTGTCTCCTGACCTGGTCACTGAATGTCTTGGTGAGCTTAATCATGGTCCTCCACATTGCCTCGGTCTCCTCGCTTATGGCTTCAGCATCCAATCCTTTGAATGGGCCTGAAAGGGAATCCACGAGAGGAAAGGCGAAATTATTTACAAATTCAAAATTTAGGAAAAACAAAGATTGTTCAATGTGAGAAATGCTGCTGAGATTTTTGAATGACAGATTGAAAATTCGAGAAATTGCAGTGATTTTTTGTTGGATTAGGCCGAGTCAGTTGTGGAAACAACTGACATTCATTGTATGTTTACTAAAATTATTCTATAATCTATGACTTGGACCAAAATCATTACCACTAAGCCATTGTTTTAGAATATTTCAGCATATTGGGTTATATACTAAAGCGAACTGATAAGCATAGGCCATTAATAATGGATTGAGAAGACATTCTGATTTACTTACAGAATAAAAATTTCCTTGGAAAATAAAACTTCCAGAGGCAAAATTCATTAGATGCAGAATTTGCAAATCACTGTCTAAAGTAGGATGCCAAATACCTACCATCAGTCACTCTAAACCCTAGGGTGCCCACCACCTACATCAGTCATACCCTACCATATAGGGTGCCAGCCCCCACAGTACCACCAACTATGCCCACCACCTACTATAAGGTGAGAATCACCTGCCAACAAGTACCATCTACCAAAAGATGCCGACCAAATAGCAAATGGTGTCAACCACTCACCATCATTCATCAACGCTCATAGGGTGTAAAATGTAAACCACCCACTGCCAGTCACAACACACCCTCCTGCGGTGTTAGGCATGGGTGTGTGTGGATGGTATAGGTGCCACTCACCCTCGTAGGTGCCACTCACCCTCGTAGGTGCCACTCACCCTCGTAGGTGCCACTCACCCTCGTAGGTACCACTCACCCTCGTGATGCCACTCACCCTCGTGGGTGCCACTCACTCTCGTAGGTGCCACTCACCCTCGTAGGTGCCACTCACCCTCGTAGGTGCCACTCACCCTCGTAGGTGCCACTCACCCTCGTAGGTACCACTCACCCTCGTAGGTGCCACTCACCCTCGTAGGTGCCACTCACCCTCGTAGGTGCCACTCACCCTCGTACCACACCTCGTGCTGCGTATGGAAGGTGTAGGTGGTGCGCCAGAGACTGTCGTAAGGTTCCTTCTGGTGCAACAGCTGATGAAGCACCGGAAATTTTGTTGTCTCCCAGCTAAGCAGTGATTGTTCTTCGTTTATTAACTGAAAACAATTAATTATTAACAAACTGTTATTGATTATTTTATTTAACAATTTATTTATTTTGCGTTTTGCATTATTTTTTTGCACAACAACCTGCATTTGAAAGACGTTGTTGTAAATGTTTATTTTTAAATTGTTTTTTTACATTGTTTGAATATCAAACATCATAAGCTTCCCTGCATTTAAAATCGATTAGGAACAGATTAATTGAGTGAAATTACTCAAATTTATTTATTGTGGCAGTTTAAACAACAAAATTTAAAAAATGTTCCAATTTGAAATAGGTAGACTTGAATATAAATTTCATAATGGGATTGGCAGATATCCAGAAAACTTTGCAGAAAGCCGTGGGCCTGAATAAAAAGAAACTGATGTTGGGCTAAATTAAATATTTTCAATGCGCTAATAAACTTCTGAAGGGCTTCTGAAACCCTTCGTTCTTCTGAAGCACTATATATGCACACTGACAGTGAGCCAAATAACATGACGGTGTTTCGCAGTTGAAATTTCACCGAAGGGATAAAAAACTACTAATCGTTTCTGTCTGACATTTTGAGGGAGGACCCAAGACTAATATTTTCGCGGGCTAGTAAAGAGAGGCGAAGAAATTCACATTTCTGAAACCAGTTGAAGAAAGTATTCAATTATATGACAGATAAGCTCCCACGCATTTTCAACAATTTTGCATAATAAAGAGGTAAATCGCAGATGAAGAATCGGTTAAATACGGTCACTTCGCTACAAAATGTTAAATAAAACAAATACAAACTTCCAAATGTAAAGAGTGACAGTCGAGCCTCAATCTAATTTAATTTTATTAAGTAACCTTGTTTGGTAGCTACTTCAATATTCTAAAAAAACTTCATTGCCAAAAACTTCAACTTCATTGCCACGGTCAAAACTTTAATTTAAATGCTCACATATTAATTCTTGGTAATAATAGGAGACGAAGCGATGTACGGAAAGATGGTTAGATGATTGATGATTGACAGATACATGTTAACCAAGCCTTAAACTCAAACCGAGGCTGTAGTGGTTTTTTTTCGGGAAGCGATTTTAAGGGATCATATATGGTAATTTACTTGCGAAGGGGCTAAGCAGCAATACAATAACAGTTTAATACGAGCAGATTGAGAAACCAAGTTAGCCATTCACCCTTGAACTCTGCATAAGAACCAAAAGTATTGGTGATACTATTTTAGTTTCTTTCGTCTTTATGTATAAGAACCAAGAGTATTGATGATAATTTTCTTCGTCTTTGATTCCTGGTATTAGTGAACATTTACGATAAATTACCTGCATTTCAGCCTTAGCGTTTTTGAGCTGAGATGACAGCTTGTCGAGAGTGTCGACGTTGCGACGCATTGTATCCACGCGAATTTCTTTCAGACTGAAATTGTCGCGATTCTTGAGGTCTTCAAGCTCCTTTAAGTAAACGTTCAACCTGTAAAAATAAATTTATTTAAAAATATATTTCTCCTGAACATTCCTTCACGTTTATAGCTGTGCGTAAAGGAGCATTTATCTAACTTATCATTGCAACAAGCGAAGAATACTTGCGGTTTCACCGATGAACGTGGAACTATACGACCGGACGCGAAGATTCAAGCATCTCATCCTATTTCCAACAAGTGAGTCACAGCAATCAGGCATAAAATGCCTATTGTGGGAACATGAAAAGTAACAAGTTACCGGCACTAAAGAAAAGTTAGTAACATAAGAGAAGATTGAATTGTCATTACACCAACAGCATATCAACTTATTATGATCAACTGATCAATTCGTAGCAATCAGATTGTCAACGAAAGCTGCTCCGCTGTCGCTAGAGCATATATGAACACAAACATTGAAAAACCACATAAATATTATACACAATTTTCCTAGGACCATATATACCACAACGAGAGAAGGGGGAGACTGTGCAAGATCCCTCCTCTGCGTAACAGATCCGCAGTCAGATTTCAATCCCTGCGGGAAGGATCGCTTTCCGTGGCAGGCCCACGGCTGTTCAACGCCCTACCAAGGGATCTAAGAGAGGGGGAGTTCACCCTGGAGACCTTCAAGAGACAACTAGACGTGTTCCTGAGCACAATCCCAGATCGACCTCCCCTGCAACACTACCAGTGGCGAGAAGCAAGCAACAGCATCGTGCATCAGGTGGCCCAAATGAGGGCGGATGAACGATAATCAGAGGCGGCGATCCATCGTGGCCTGGGACTGCTATGTCCCAAACAAATACTAAGGATACTAAGGATATGCCAACAGGTATTTGCTGCACTCACTGTTGATTGAAGGCTAAGTACATGGCTGTTAGACCATCCAAGGGCCAGGTACGCCAGCATCTCCATCTCCATGCATGCACTCACTGTTGGTGGAAGGCTAAGACCCCGGACATTAGACCATCTATAAGGACTAGTTATGCTAACATCTCCATGCACTTACTGCTGATGGAAGGCTAAGAACATGGCTGTTAGACCATCTAAGGGCCAGTCTCGCCAGCATCTCCATGCACTCACTGCTGATGGAAGGCTAAGAACATGGCCATTTGACCATCTAAGGGCCAGTTATGCCATCATCTCTATGCACTAACTACTGATGGAAGACTAAGACCCTGGCAATTAGACCATCTAAAGGCCAATTATGCTAGCATATCCATGCACTCACTGCTGATTGAAGGCTAAGACCCTGGCCTTGAGAGCAGCCTCCTTCAGGTCCCTCTTATGGGACAGTCTGCTCTCGGCCAGCTGTACGTCCTCTTGCATCCTTCGCGGCCAGCCGTAGACCCTCTGCAGCAGCGATACTTGATCGTCTGGTAGCTGACCATGCTGAGGAAAATATAACTCAGTACCAGAGGTGGGCAGTAGCGCGCTACATTTTCAGTAGCGGTAGCGGTAGCGGCGCTACATTTAAGCAACTGTAGCGGTAGCAGTAGCGGCGCTGCATTTAATCAATTGTAGCGGTAGCGGTAGCGCCCGCTACACTTAGAGCATGTAGCGGTAGCGGCCGCTACATTTCAAAGTAACGCTGCCCAGCTCTGCTCAGTACTCACTGCAGTGGGTGACAGAGAGCGCATTTTTTCGTCGACGAAATCGTGAAGTCACGGACGGACAGACAGACGGACGGACGGACGAACGGACGGACGGACATGGTGAGCACAATAGTGCATTTTTTCCATAAATGAGAAAATGTGCTAAAAACATAACAAAAATTTTCTTTCCCTAATTTTTCATTAGTTAACCATCATTTCTACATGATAGACCAGATCCAACAGATCATTCGAGTTGAGATTCTTCCGGCGAAATGAGATTGTAGAAACAGTCAATAGATTAATGATTCATTTATGATTTGGAATAAACAAGAAAACCATGTATAACCCGTCAGGTGTTTCTAATACATGTAAATTCACACACCGTACTTTAAACATGAATATCATTATAAAATCAGTCTTCAAATAATATAATCTAAATTAGCAGTGTTTTGATTAGTGATTTTTGTACAGGCTGCCGGTCGTTTGTCCTCAGCCCAATTCACCTAATCCAAGTGCAATAAGATGAAGTTATGCAATGCACTGAAATCCCAATTTATATATGAATTAATATCAACACATATTTAGGTATTTAAATACACACTGTATTTCATTTTAATTTAATCAAAAATATTTGAATATCGCATAAAACTCTTTTGAAATCAAATTACAAGCGCCACAGTAATTAGCCAATAGCACGTGAAATTTTACCACATCCTAACCTGAGTCGCAAATTTAAATTGATCGTGCTCGACTTATTTATAATGTAACATAATTTACGTTATAAATTATATATGATAATATGATATGTAATTTTCATGAATAATTTCACTTGCTTTTCACGGAACTGTCCTTTTGGTATTCCACGGTCTGAACATTTGAATTACTATAAGAAACGAGTATTCTACGAAATAATTATAATTCAAGCTCCTAATTTGGTTCAAATAAATATAGTTCGGCGAAAAGTAATGTGTGCGACTAATGTTATTTCCTGCTGTTCTTCCGCCTTTTGTTAATTTTATATTTGGCTTCACGCATACAAATAAGATGCAGCTTGTGTTACCCGATCAGATGAACTGTTGGTGAATCGCTGATTGATCAACATATTACAAATGCTGCTGCAAACTCGAATTTCGTGAGATGTGAACCGATTTTTTTTATTAGAATTGGTTTTGAGTCTCAGGAAAATTTTCGATTAAGTCCAGTAGTGATTGTTAGGTACAGAAATTTACTATATTGTACACATAATAAGTAAAATAAAATACAGATATTGTACAGATATTGTACTGTATACTTGTTTCAATTGCGTAGTCTCGTCTAAAAAATTCAAATGATGTATTACTATAATATTATTAAATTGCAGAGTAAGTAAAATCATCAAACAAAACTAATGCCACGGTATTAAATCAATAATAAGTGGAATATTACCACGCATCGAGAAATTTCAAATTTCTCCATCATACTCTTCGATCAAATTAGAATTAGACGATGCAGTTGTTCAGGACACAGAAACATTCTTCTATGTAGCAAGGTTTTCAAAAAGAACTGCTCTTCCAAACGCCGAACTTTTTACTGCAATGTGCCGCAGCCCTTGAAAATTGCGCATTGTAAAATTAAAAGCCTGGGAACATTATATATAAAATTGCATCTGAAAAATGAAAATCAAATGCGAATCTAACCAAAAAAGTGGCAATTTAGCAACGATCGAGTAGAATAAAAATGTTGCGGAGTAACTAATGAAGTAAAAATAGTTAAAAACGACGAAGCATTGCAGAAGCTTCTGGATGCAAGCATTGTAGCATGGATCTCATGTCTGTGACGTGCAAAATGATAGTTTGTTTCCAGCATGAATGGAATACTGAGCAGAAATGGTGAAAAATGAACGAAACACAGTCCAAAGATCAGACATCAGACTCAAATGCTTACTAAATTAACTGCTACGCACTTGATTTTTGACATTTTGATTTAGTCATATAGCAGCTTTAGGCAGCTCCATATAGTGAGTCCATCAGCGAAGTCAGCATTGAGAAAGGATAAAATGTTATCTCTTTTATCATCAACAAGAGACATTGATGAACAATATCGATCGGTCAGTAATGTTGAAGGTTACCAATAGTTGTGTGTAGACATCAATTTTGTAAAGAAGTAACAAATTGAATAATTTTTTACTTTTTGACATGAATGATGCATCAAAGCCTTTGAAAAATCGACGAGTCATGGAGCTATTGAAGTCTGTTGACTACAGTCAATGTCGCTGTATTCCAAGGGGAAATGTGAGCACACCTGTTCCAGGAATCATATACAGCGAGAACAGGTGTTTCCAACCACTGCAGGGCCACTGTTCAGTCCGAGTGGAAGCTGGAAAGTTTCAGTCTCTTGTCCATCCCGACCGTGAGCGAGCAAGTGCAACCTTACTCTCCGCTAGTTAATTTGTTGGCGAATTACAAAGTTATTCGACTTTGCCACTGATTCAAAGTCTAATAGTTACTTGAACTGATTTCAACCAAAACTAAGAGAAAAGTTATGAATATGCGTGAGATACTCGCATTAGCGGTGACTCTAGCGTTATGGTGTGAAGTGAAGAGTCAGAGCTGCAGTCAGACTAACCTCGCTCTTCAAAATAATCAAGTCTACACCTTCACGTCGACTAATTTTCCAAGCCCGTATCCAAGCACATCCCAAACTTGTGTTTTCCAAGGCGTTGCTCCTGTTGGGCAAAAGGTTTACGTATATTGCGACACATTCAGCATCCTGTATGATGCAAACTGTAACTATGCCAGATTCTTCTACTCACCTTCTGGTGACATCAATTTCGCCGACGCCTTTATTTACTGTGGCTACTATCCGTCGCTCACTTTCACGACGAGCAGTAATAAAGTTGCGCTCAAGTTCATGAACGCATGGTCGAATTTTTACGGCCAACCAGGATTTCGATGCTACATTGGCACTTGGCCTGATACCACGACTACAACCACTACGACAAGTACAACAACGAAGCCCACCACGACTACCACCACTACAACAAGTACAACGACGAAGCCCACTACCACCACTACAAAAGCTCCTTCATCTACCACCACCACCACTAAGGCTCCAACAACTGTACCAAGCACTTGTGACTGTGGACGTAAGAATATAGCTGCGAGAGTGGTAGGTGGTCAAGTTGCTACTAAGAACGAGTACCCGTGGATGGTCGGAATTCTCGAAGTTGGAGATGCAGAACCTTTCTGTGGGGGATCTTTGATCTCTAACCAGTGGGTGTTGACTGCCACGCACTGCTTGCTGAGTTTTACAGCAGCAAATCTCGAAGTGGCTCTTGGAGCGGATCAGCTTGGGCTAAACGCTCAGTCTGGCATACGAGTAAAAGTTTCTCAGATTATTACTCATGCCAATTATGATACCAATAACGTCAACAACGATATCGGCTTGATCAAGTTGGTTACTCCAGTGACGTACACCACCACCATCTCCCCTGTGTGTCTGCCTTTCAAATTTCCCAACTCTGACTTCGAAGGAACTTTAGGAACGGTAACAGGTTGGGGTACGACCAGTTACCAAGGCACCACATCGGTGGCTCTCTTGGAAGTTGACATACCCATCCTCAGCACGCAGAGTTGCTCCAGTTACTACACGTATCCTACGGTCCTGACGGACAACATGTTCTGCACGCTGCAGGCGGGCAAGGATGCGTGCCAAGGGGACTCAGGTGGCCCCCTGACAGTTCCATCTGGAGGGCGTCTGTACCAGCTGGGGGTCGTGTCATGGGGAACTGAGTGCGCCACGGCCACCAAGCCTGGAGTTTACACTAAGATCACCAAGTACCTCCAATGGATCGAAACCAACACTGGGGCTACCTTCTGCAAAGTGTAGACGGTATTTTCTTTGATGCCTAACATCGGTTCAGATATCACTTTGAAAACATAGAAAACAAAACATATACCAACAATAACGCCGAGTTAAGAAGTTCGATGTAGGAAGTGAACATACACTTTATCAATAACTTTGTTCATTACGTAAAGCCTCATGCAGCCCCAACCTTTAATCGATACATCATGATTTGCAACAGGTATAATGTCGAAATTTATGTATACCGAAGTAATAGTTTATCCTAAATATCAATATAGATTTTCATCAATTATGACATAATCGTTTTTATATTAAATTACAGTCGTTGTATGATCAGATACCAAGCAATGGTTCCAAAAGTTTGGAGATTTGTAACTATTCAATATTTGTGATTTGTGACTATTTGTGACTATTCAATATCTAAGAACTTTTTTCCGAAAATATTCCTGTTCAAACGTTTTGAATGCCGCAGCATTTTTCCTATCATTTTTTCGTTTTCATAATTGGTAAAGGAATTATTTTTCATCAACCTTGACTATCGATTCTTTCTGGAAAACATGAACTTAGAAATGTGCTTCCCGAACTGAGCAGTGAGGCATGTAATCGTGAACATATTCACTTTGGTGCGAAATACAAAGATTGACAACCGAAAATAACAGTTTATCCAATATTTTGAATCATTGTATTATGTTTTAAGAATCGTTTGGACTCTTGAAACGGCAATCGATTTTGCGGTAATAATTATTTTTTGGCATTTAGAAAAAATGTTGAAAATAAATATTGTCATTTGCAGAGCTGCGAACGACTGTTTCAAATCGCTTTTACTTTCATTTTATTCGTAGTTTATTTATTGTTCGGATTACGAACTGCTGGTGTAATTTGAATAAAATTAAGTAATTTGAAACGTAGTAACAACACTTCATAATTATCTAATTATTACGCATGAGAGAATCCCAATATAATTGTGTCAATCTTTGTATCGAAAAACGTACACACAGACATCGAATCTATGTAATCTACGTTGACTACGAAGAAAAGAAACATAATATTTAATGCTGCACAATTTCTATGATTTTTGTAGTAAAATCAGAATTCTTCTATTTCATACTAGTTTCAGTATTATCCGGCATTAAAATACGGAAACAATTTAATTTATGCTTGTAATGACCGTTGTTTAGAAATAAATATAATCTGGTTTGGTGTTCTCGAATAGTTATATTATTCGTTACCATGTTTTTATTTTCATTTAACACGCTAAAAATATATATACTGAATAAATTTCCTGCCTGAATGAGGAATTTTTTTTTTCTGATTGAAACGGAAAAAACTTCCTACTCCCGCATATGAGCAAGGCCTAAAAAACTCCAATGATAATAATATGTGTTAAAAATTACTTTTTAAAGACAACACCGCATGAACAATGAATTTATAATTTTGTTATCAAATATTTAAAAAAAGTAATTTTATGCATTTCATTTTTACAATTAAAAAAAAATTTTTTGAAAAATTATTTATTCTGTCAATCGAATCATGCATGGTCTCCAATTTTACGCAAGCGTGCAAAATTTCAGATCGATTGGAAAGGTAGAAATGTTAAATATTGATTATAAGATATATATACAAGACAAAATTATTAGTTCATATATTTTGAAGTTAAACTTTTTTTAATTCTAAAATTATATATTCTGCCTATTGATTCATGCTTTGTCTCTAACTTTATGCAAGTGTGCAAAATTTCAGATCGATTGGAAAGGTAGAAGTGTGTTAAATATTGATAATAAGATATGTAGCAGGCAGACAAGAAGTGAAGTTAAAGGGAAGTGTTATAAAAAACAGAAGTATTTAAACAAGCTAAAATTCAAGTGCAAAAATTAAGCGATGGCTTTCTTGATACAAAAATAGAATACAAACAAGTTTTTTTCAGCGGTCAATAATAAATCGTAAAGAAATCTTGCCCAGGGCCCTCAACTAATCAATAGGCTTCTGAAAGTTCCTCATCCTAGTCTAGGTCGTAAATTTTAATTATGTTCGAATTATTTGTATCATTACATTATCTATGTTATATATTATATTTAATACTATAATAATACCGAACTTGACTAATTTCACTGGCTTACACCAAGAATTGTAGTTTTGGTATCCCCTATCTGAGCATCTGCGTTACTGTAAGAAACAAATATTCTACAGGATTCAAGTAATTACAAATTAAGATTCAAATTTGATTAAAATAAAATATTTTCTCTAGAGAAGTAAAGTGTGTGACTGAAGTTATTTGTTGAAGTTCATTTACCTTTGATTGGTTTTATATTCGGTTTATACATCCAATAAAATTTGCATTATTCGATGGGATGAATTTTTTCATTATTCGATGAACGATGAGAAATTATTGCCATGTTACAAATGCTGGTGCAAACTCAATTCTCGTGAGATACGAATCGATTTTGATAATTTAGAATTTTTTCAAGTCTCACGAAATTTTCTACGCTTTTCAGTCCACTTATGACTTTTAAGTACAAAAACTTATTAAATTATACACAAATTTAGTAAAATATGACCAATATTCAAATATTGTACTACACATCTGCTTCGATTGTGTAGTCTCGCCTACAAAAACTTCCATGAGGTAGTAATTTAATGTACCGAAGTTACCGCGGAAGTTTAATCAATAATTAATAGTTAATGAATTAATTTAGCTAATCTAAAATATTCATTGCAAGATTGCTTTCATTTGGACATTTAAGTAAGAATTTCTAACGTAGAAGTGGAAATTTTCAACATTTGGATACCGAACTGACAATTTATAAAGTTTGCGATACGTTGTAAGAAGTTCTGACGTTTATACAATGAAGCAATAATTTTTATCTTTGAATCACGAGACAGGAAATTTTTTCGTTTTGACATCGAAGTAAGAAAATTAATTGTTCATGGATAATTCAGTTTGAGCATTGCAATACCTACATCGTGCACATAAGATATATGCCCCCTGTGCAGCAAGAGCTGTTTGTTGCTCTCTGAAGTATACAGATCGTAATTAATTTCTTATATTATAAGTATCTCATAGAATATTTTTTAGCTGTAGAACACAGTTTTCATCTCAGTTATCCGACAGAATCAGTAAAATCAGCAGGAATTTTACTTATATTAGTTTTTATACTCGTTTATTTTGTTATCAGACCCCTTCGAGGTTCCAAGGAAATTAACTACCAATCATTCTACCAAAAGTAATGTTGACACCCGAATAGCGAAATTGACTAATTATAGTTTTTTTTTCAAGATCTTCTTTTGATTCATATGTTGTCGTATTCATAATTTGAAATTAAATTAAGCTCCTGAACCCAAAGTTTTTCAAGTTAGCCAAACATAGGTTTCAATAAATGTTGTGATAAAATTTAGTACATCAGCGCATTCAGTTCAGACTGCACATTCATGGCACTATAATTCACTGCGAAGAAGAAAAATTCATTATTATAACGTAAACTTCGATCAATCGTTCAGTAATAAGCAACCGAGGTTTAATAGTGAGATCCACTGATCCACTAACATTGATGGAACATTTACTGGATGAAAACGATATGTAATTCGTGTTAAGAATGGACGTGGTCTGTGACGTGTCCAAAATGTGGTCTGTCATGCTATAAGCTATGCGGCATAAATATTTTCTCGTTTGTTACTTTAATGAAATCAATAAATGGAGTCATACACGCCTAAAAGCAACGACTCAATTAAGCGTTCCTGTAGAAACTCATCAACAAAACATAACTGATAACTAAATTCCCATCATCGTTATAGAAATTTTCACATGAGAAGAGGTTTGCACGATTATTGTAGTTCTTTGACGCTGCATAGACTTGGTAGCGGCCTCACGCACGCTATAACAGGGCAGCTTGGAAAAAAGTTCGCTAAAGGGAGTTCTAACTGTACCGTCAAAACATGCTGTAGTACAGCAGCCTAAGTACATGTAGCGGCCTAAGTACACGTAACGACCGATATCTCGTCTGCCATTGGTGGGTTTAGTTTGAAAGCCGTCACAAATTGACTGTCGAACTCGTAACGATTTTAGATAGTGCGGCCCGTACGTAGTCAGTATTCGGCGTACGGTAGAACTCTGTAGCGCATACAGACGATAAGGGAAGCCGATAAAGGTGAAAAAAGTTGTATTCTATCAAAAATAGGCAGTAAACTTAATCGAGTTTCCTCAGCCACTAGCCAAAGTTAAAAAGTAAGAGTTGGAGAAGCATAGAAGGAAGATGAATGACGTGATCATATTGATGAAATGTCAACAACATTCTCAGCTTATTTATCAGACAGAAATCGTGTCCTAGAATTGATGCAAACTGTCTATGGAAAAGAGAAATAAAAGTATATATGTATAGTATTAAACTTAATATACACCTATACGCATATACTTACTAACAACAATAATTTTTCATGAACTATGCAAAATCGTGTACTGTAGAGCACACAACACTAGCTGAATCCCTGACGTCACGAGCGACCGAAATATTTGTCAGGTGTAGGAGGTCGAGGTAGCGAGAATGTGCAGCTGTGTTCAACTAACCTTCAGGTGTTTATGACTAGCTAGCCTTCAGGTGCGTATGACTAGCCTTCAGGTGCGTATGACTAGCCTTCAGGTGCGTATGACTAGCCTTTAGGTGCGTATCACTAGCCTCCAGAAGTGTATACCTAGCCACCAGGTGGGCCCATACTTTCAAAAAAAGTTAAGAGATCGTAAGTTCATCAGCCAATTCTATGATTGGCGGATTTTGCTTGAAAGGCCGTCAATGATTGGCTGATGAACTTACGATCTCTTAACTTTTTTTGAAAGTATGGGCCCAGGTTCTTACATGCAGCTTTCAGGTGCACGCTAGCAATGCATAATTTAAGCTAACGCCGATTTCATTAGAAGACTGAATAGTTTCGGGGCTGAAGGTGACCCTTAATAAGGTGACAAATGTTATCTATTTCACCGCCACAGAGTTTATTTCGATCTAATGTTATTGTTCTTTTTTATCGATCGTCATCAAATGCAATCAAGGACCGGACTCTCAAAACATCGCTAATTTAATTTGTATGATAGTGCTTGTTGACACTAATCATTAAGAATCATTAAGCATATTGAACGTGGTCCGATTATGAGGAAATTATGCTACAGAGAAGATGATTAAGATTAAGTCTAATTAAGACTGGCTGATGCACATCTTCAGTAATACTGAATCCAGTATTACTAGTATATAGCAAAAAATACTAGTATCTGACGTCGAATATTAGACATTTTCCAATTTAAATATTTTATTATGAAAAAACCGTCAGAATTTTGGCAAAAACTCTTTTATAATTGAAAGACGCAACGATCAAAGTTCGTTTATCAAGAAACATTGAATATCATTTGAGCTTCATTCATATAATTTTGAACCAGTTTTTATTTCGGCGGTAAATTAACAAATAATTCAGAATTCGTCATTCATTGTTTATAAAAACTCCCAAATTGATTTTGGTAAACTATACTAACCACGAAAAATTTTCAATATGTATGGGTAAATATTTGGTAAATAAATTTATCTACGAAAATTTTTCAATGTATCTTTGCAATATATATGGATCTGTATAAATAAAACCTTGAGGTGGTCAACTTCAAGTGGAATGATAATTATAATAGAATGGACCGAAAATATCTACAAAAAGTGATACTCATACACAAGATACGATTAATTGCTCAGTACGACTCGGATGGGGGTAATATCATATATTATTTACCACTCTTATTTACGAGACATTATAGCCAATTTAATTTATAATTAAATGAAATATTAATAGTTAGTGTCGGCGTTCTTGATCCACGGATTGCATTTAACAGCAAGACAGTGTAACAACAGATAATTTTATCCAAATTTGCTTTTCTATCCGGGATCGAGAATAATTAATTTTTTTCACGCAAGAAGCAACACCACTATTTTTTATCATAATTGGCAGTATTTGGCATCTCTCTGTAACATGAATACGAATTATAGGCGGGCCTTCTGGTCACGAACATGACTGGTATGTCGGCCTTCATAACATGAAAATGAGAGGCATACCGGCCTTTGAAACATGAACATGAACGGTATGCCAGTTTCTGGAACATGAGCATGGACGGCATTTTGGCCTTCAGAACATGAACATGAATAGCATAGCAGTCATCGGACATAAACATGAAAGGCATGCCGGCCGTCGGAAAATGTAAGCGGATTTTATACAGTTCGATAGAGCATATTGCCGACAAGTGTGCATCAGGATCAATAAGCGTAGGTCCCCTGCAATAAATAAACATTGTAAATATATAACTCAGTTCTCACTGCTGTGAGTGACTGAGAGCGCATTTTCTCGTCGACGAAAACGTGAAGTCACGGACAGACAGACAGACAGACGGGCATGACGAGC